TTGTTGCTACTCCATAACTGTAATTTTGATACTGTTATAAATTGTAATGTAAATATTTTTGGAGATAGAAGGTCAAAGGGGTCATGACCCACAGGTTGAGAATTACTGAGTTAAAGGTCACAAGAATTATTTTTTGAAAGATGGTTTCAGTTATATAACAAAGAAAGTTGTTCCAGTTTTGGTTCTGTGTTTCCTGTTGCCCGACGTTGGCTGATATTTGAACAAGAATTCCTTGAGACACTGAAAATGTAATAAGTCCTTGTAATGGCTTCTGTTGCCAAACTTAACATTGGACAGTGTTTGGGAATATTCATCAAATGCATTTTTCCCTGCTCAGACTCTTTAGCTCCTCCTAGTGGTTGGTTTATTCAGTAAATATTTATTGCACACCTGACATGCTCCACACTGGTGGTTAAAGAGCTGTTGGAACATTCCACAGTGGTAAAACATAGTTAATGGATGCTCTCTAGAGTTTTAAATGTCTGTGACAGAAGCACAAGAAAGAAATAGGCTTCTACTACTCTAGCGGGACATGGGAAGCTTAGAGGTAGGGATCTTCATTCTGAGTCTGAGCAGAGACATTCACGTGAGGTTTGAAGATGAAGCAAGGTAGAGGCAATAGCCTGGACAAAGCCTGCAGAGAGATGAGACAGGTTTTGAGATGTGCAGTGTGGCTTTCCAGTGCCTTATGTGAAGGATTGTTATAAGTTAGGAAGGTAGGGAGGTGAAACAGTTGAGGGGATCACATAAATGAAAATGGACTTTACTCTGATGTGAGTGACTTTCAACCACAGGTAACTTCACCCGTGAGAGGTGTTTGTGGCGATGTCATTTGTTTTGATTTTTGTACTTGTGTGTATGGGGGTAGTGGTGATAATATGACCATTTTAAGTAGGACAGTAGCAGGTAGGTTTACCTTTTAGAAAGACCATTGGATTAATAATGGGAAGAATGAATTGAAAAGCTAGAATAGAAACTACCTGTGGAATACTTTTTAACTAGTCACCTGAAAAAGAGTTATAAAGGAAGAGGCCCACTTCCCACAAAAAGGGTAGATTAATGAGAGGTCATTATGAGATAGAAACAACAGAACTAGGCAATAGGTGGGATATAAAGGTGTAAAGAAAGAAAATGAATCTAGGTGCATGTCCAAAGCCTGGGAAACCTGTCCTGCAGTACATGGTTCTGCCTGTACTGTTCATTTTGGTGGTTTATTATGTACCATATTATCCGGGTTAAGTCCAAGAGTATTGGTCTTATTACTTCCTTCGTGTACTTCATAAAGTCTAACCCAGTGTTGGGCAAATAGTAGAGTTACCAACTTACTTGAAAAGGATTATATATGTGTACATTAAAGTTATTTGTGTTTTCTAACTTCTCAGTTTGATGTGGTCCCTTTCCCACTTAGAAGATTGTTTTTGTTTATGACTGATTTCTTTCCATTCCTTGAGTACACACAGTTTCTTTCACCATTGTACCCAGTCCAGAGTTCCTTATGGTAATATTAGGGAAGCCTTTCAAAGCATTCTGAAATGTGCCAAATACTGTGCCAAGTGCTTTGCACACAAAGACTTTATGTTGTACAGTGCTGTCTTGGTCACCTTTGGTGGCTGTGATCTGGGGATTAGGACATCGAGGCTCAGAAGAATTAAGTGACTGGCCCAGTGTCGTACCACGCTCTTACCCTGGCAGAACCAAATTTTGAACTTAAGTGTCTTCCTGTCAGAGCCCATGGTCTTTTTTCCTTGCCTGTGCCCACCTTAATATGAACAGCACAACTGAAGGCACTGGTATAGATTGGTTTAAATTGAGCAGGTTATATTGAAAGGTGTCTAGAGTTAAGCTAGCTTGCCTTGCAATATTTTGTTTATTTTGAAACAAAGTCATATAGCACAAGCTGTCCTGGAACTTAGACTATTCCTGCGTCAGCCTCCTTAGTGCTGGGATTACAGGTGTGAGCTGCCATACCCAACTTAAATGGCTATGAAAGACGATTATATTCTTGAAAGGCCTGACTTTTTTTGGAGAAGGAGTACTCTGAATTTTATACAGTATACTCAGAAGTTGGCTACTCACTCATCACCACACTTTTTAAATGTGTGTCTTTGTACATGCACTCATATGTGGAAGTCAGAGAACAGCTTGCTGGAGTCCATTTTTCTTTTCACTGTGTGGATTCCGGGAATTAAACTAAGGTCATCAGGCTTGGCATCACACATGTTTACTCTGTGAGTCTTTTTGCTGGTTTTGAGGTATGTCTCAGGTATTCAAGGCTGGCCTTAAACTCTTGGTCCTTTTGTAATATGGCTCTCGGGTGCTGGGATTACAGGCATACATGTGCCACCAGGCTAGGCAAGTTCCACTGCTGTGAAACACATCTCTCTCAAATCTTGTAGGATTAAAATACTGGCTGTTTCCTTTGGAAAAGCAGCAAGTTAGGAGTAGGAGTTAGCTTCCTATAATTGAAGCATTATCATGTTGGAAAAGACTCAGCTTTTGTCATCTTGAAGATTAAATTTATGTGTGGAATTCATAGGAACAGAGATTTCAGAGCAAGAACTGTAAGGTTGAGAGGGAGTTGGCTGCCTAGAAAGGGAGTACAGTGGCCCATCTTGAAGGTCTAAAAGAGGAATTGGCTGATTCTTTCCTTGATGTGTGTGATGGATTGTGATGTCAGGTGGAGTCTGTAAGGACCTGTCCTGTTGCAAGTTATTTACTAGGAAATTAGAAGTATCAGAAGGCAAGGAGACAGCCAATACAGGGTGAGAAGGGAGAGTTACAGCGAACAGTAGAAAGGGGAAGCAAGGGTTCGGCTTATTTCACCTACATAGTTTACATTCTCTGCTGGGTTCATTTCATAAGTCATTGGCTTTTGTTTCCTAAGATATTGCTCCAAAAAGCTTGAGGAATTTTGCAAAGTCACAGAGACAGGGTAATCTGCTTTTGGCCCAAGCATCCAGCTGGAGGCCTTGGGTGGAGCTACATCTGGAGAAGCCCAGGTGAGGGTAAAGGCTTCTCTCAGTTTACTTAAGTTTTCTTTCTAGTAATTTTCACAATTCTCAAGTTTCTCAACTAAACCTCAGCAGGAGGATGGATTCAGGCTAAGATGATTTCTTCTGTTTTGAATGTTTGGGTTTAATGCCCTGATTCCATTTTTTTTTTTAAATCTTTAATAACAAAAACATTATACTCTCAGCACTGGAATTTGATAGAGAAAAAAAAAATAGCTGAAATTGACATGCCCTTGTTTTCTCATTCTTCTTCCCATGCCAAGGAATGAACTCGGAGCCTAGTACTCTGAGCTCCCTACCCAACTGTGGTGGTTTGAATGAGAATGGCCTCCATAGGCTCATATATTTGAAATCTTGGTCCCCAGTTGGTAGAACTGTTTGGGAAGGATTAGGAGTGTGGCCTTGTTGGAGGTGTGTCACTGGAGATGAGCTCTGAGGTTTAAAAGCCCCTCTACATTCCCAGTTAGCTCTCTCCCTTGTGTTTACAGATCAAGATGTCAGTTCCCTCAGCTGCTGCCTCAGTACCACGCCTGCCTGCCTGTTGCCACGCTGCTCCCTGCCTTGATGGTCAATGGGCTCTAACCCTCTGAAATCCTGAGGCCCAAATTAAATTTTTTTTCTTCTATCAGTTGCCTTGATCATTGTTTTTTTTTGTTGTTGATGATGATGTTCTTTTAATAGCAATAGAATAGTAAGACACCAGCCCTTAGTTTTTTGAAATAAGATCTCATTGTGTAGCATAAATTGACCTCTAGCCCATTTTTCTGCCCTAACTTTCTGAGTGCTAAGATTACAAGTATTAGTTACCATATCTAGCCATGTTTTTGTTTTAACTAAGAATATGTGGTTTCTGAGGAAGAGTATGATGAAGTGGATAAAAATGTGAATTTTTTTTTATATGTGTGTATGTGACAAGGTGTCATTATATAGTACATGCTGGACCGGCCTCAAACTTGCTGTGCATTCTAGGCTCATCTTGAACTCATGACCCTCCTGCCTCAGTCCTCTTGAGTGTTGGGATTACAGTCATGTGCCACCATGCCTAGCCAAGAATATGAAAATGAGATGTCAGGCTTGGATTTGATTCTCAACTCCACCACTTGCTGCCTGTACACTTTGAACAGATGACTGAACCTGGGGTTCAGCTTCAAGTGTGACAAGACTCTTTCTCATAGGCTCTTTATGCATGGAAATCTGATAACACACAAAAAGTCTGTACCACATGGGAAGAGCTTCAAATTGTTGGTTGCTTTTTGAGGCTTTTTATTATTATTTATTTTATGTGTTGGTGTATTTTACCTACATGTATGTCTGCTAGAAAAGGATAGTGGATCCCCTGCGAATAGAATTGCAGACAATTGTAAACCAAAATGTAGGGACTAGGAATTGAGCTCTGATCCTCTGGAAGAGCAGTCAGAGGTCTGAGCCATTTTTTAGCTCCAGATTTAGTTTCTAACAAACTGTTATTTGGGTAGTCAAAGGTCATTTTGGAATAGACATTGGGTTGTATTTGTGCCTCCTTGGTGGGTAGTGATGTTGTAGAGAACACAAAACATGCCTGAGTAGATGATTAACCATAATTCTTCAGAAAAAAAAATTAAAAAACAGCAACACAAGGCTTGCACATGCTAGGAAAGTGCTGTAGCGCTGTGCTACATACATCCCCAGCTCCTAAATGTTGACTTTTAAGAGGAATAAAACTTTCCTGTCTTTTATTTCCTTCTCCCTGTTTCTCTGAAGAGTTGAGGAAAGAGTAGAAAGGAAGTTTGGTGTCTTTGTATATCAGGATATACATAAGGGATTGGAGGTGTAGGAGTAAGAAAGCCTGAAGTCAGAGTCCTCAATAGCGTGGATGTGGCCACTGAATCACAGGGAGAATGGTCAGGGCCGGCAGCAGCACCCACTTAATGCCGTAGAGCGTGGCGCTGAAGGTTAGGAGAGCCTGGCTCTTTTGCTCTCATTCTTTAAATTCATGTTTTGTGTGCCTAGACTTGTCACCTCCCTGCTGCGCAGACCTGACTTTACTTCTAAGGCTTCCTGAGTACCCGAGAGTCTCCATTAGAATCTGCCGTGGAAGCAAGAACAGGTAAATCAAGGTAGTGTCATGCTCTTGAGACAGCAACTGAATGAAGATGCAGTGACAAGTTTTACAGCTATAACGCTGGATACGGGCTTAGAACAAGTGTGGTGCCCAGAAGGCCCGTTTGTCTAGAGTGGTGCTACAGAAATACCTCCAGTGTGACATACTGTAGAACACTGTGTTCTAAGAATGATCCCAGAACCTCTTGCTGGCTGTGGATAGCATGGATGTTTACTGCCTGATAAACCAGGATAGTCCCCATGTAAAAGGCTCCAGGTCTCAAGTGCTATAGTACAGATGTGCACTACCACAGCCAGTATATGTGGTGCTGGGGACTGAACCAGGGCCTCGTGCACGCTAGGCAAGCAGCATACCAACTGAGCTACATCCCTATTTTTCTCTTAAGAATTTTAATTGTAGTTCTCCTTTGATTTTTTTTTTTTTTTCCCCTGTAGACTATTCCATTATGGATGGAGGGGATGATGGTAACCTTGTCATCAAAAAGAGGTTTGTGTCTGAGGCAGAACTAGATGAGCGGCGCAAAAGGAGACAAGAAGAATGGGATAAAGTCCGAAAACCAGAAGACCCAGAAGGTATACTGGCCTCAAGTTGGACATCACTTATTAAGCCATTTTTAAAAAATGATTTGTTTATTTTATGTGCATTGGTGTTTTGTCTACATGTATGTTTGTATGAGGATGTCAGATGCCCTGAAACAGGATTTATAGACAGTTGTGAGCTGCTATGTAGGTGCTGGGAATTGAATCCAGGTCCTCTGGAAGAGCAGCCAGTGCTCTTAATTGCTGAACCACCGCTGCAGCTCCTCATTTAATTCATTTAATCCTCTCAAAGCCCTGCCAAGAAGGTGCTAATTGTCCTCACTAGAGTTTAGGAACCAAGCTCACAGGATGAAGGAACCTGTGTAAAGTCTCTACAGCAGAGCCAGTACTCCGTATTTGCCCTCTTCTCCCCACCACCTTCCAGGAGATTCTGCTGGTCTCTTCCTTGTTACAGGTGGAAGCACAGTTTGAATCAAGGATGCTACTGCTAAGTTTGGACTGGCTGCTCATGCAGTTAGCAGCGTGGCACTGATGGCTGCCTTTGAAAATGCCTGCCTGTTCTGTCTGAGGTGCAAAGGGACGCTATAGGCTTTGTGTTATTTTCACCTCAGACCGTTTAGAGACTTACCCATTTTTCCAACTCTTTGTGATTCCAAAATAATATGAAACAACCAAAATTCTGTGTTTCCTTTATCCCATCTTCCTTTCAGAATGTCCAGAGGAGGCTTATGACCCCCGGTCTCTGTACGAGCGGCTGCAGGAGCAGAAAGACAGGAAGCAGCAGGAGTATGAGGAGCAGTTCAAATTCAGTAAGCTCCAGAAAACCACATTCCAGGGACTCACTGGGCCTTTTGACATACTTTGGCCTCAGTGTTACTAGCAGTAGAATTAATCTTGATTATCCAGCTTCCTGGAGCTCATTCAGTGGAAGAAAAGACCATCTACTGCCTTATAAGCCACAGTGAACATTTGTACTTAGAGCTTAAGGTACCATTTAAATTCCATGCTACTATCTAGTAATGGAGAAATGCTTTGACTCTATGCCATGCTGTTTATAAAAAAGCCATGGTATTTAACAGTTCTCTTAATTTGCCTGAATCTGCTGCTGATTTAAAACAGAAAAGGGCCAGCAGTGTGGCCGGGTGGGAACAAGATCTTGAGTGAACTGACAGACTGAGTTGATCCCCAGATCCCACAGCTAGAAGAAGAGAATTGAATTCCAAGGGTTGTCCAGACTGAGTTGATCCCCAGATCCCACAGCTAGAAGAAGAGAATTGAATCCCAAGGGTTGTCCAGACTGAGTTGATCCCCAGATCCCACAGCTAGAAGAAGAGAATTGAATCCCAAGGGTTGTCCTCTGGCCTTTACATGTGTGCGATGGCACATATGTACACATAGACACAGCATTCACACATTAAATAAATGAATGAATGAATGAATGAATGAATGAATAATAAATGAATGAATAAGTGGTTCTTTTTTAAAATGTAGGAAAGGGAAAATCAAAGAAGATTATGCTTCCTGTAGTCTTCTTAGTGCTCTTTGTTCAATTATTTCCCCAGAAAACATGGTAAGAGGTTTAGACGAAGATGAGACCAACTTCCTTGATGAGGTTTCTCGGCAGCAGGAACTGATAGAAAAGCAGCGACGAGAAGAAGAGCTAGAGGAACTGAAGGAGTACAGAATATCCTTTGTGCTTGGAGAGAAATGACTCCTTTTTCTCACAAAGAGAAAGCGTCCTTCTACCTAGTCCCAACAGTTTGTTAGCACTGATGTCCCCGTGACTCTGAATGATTGGCTGTGATTGGTGGTGTGTGTTGCTCATGCACATCTATTGTAATCAGCATTTCTCATTTTTCAGGATTAAGTGGCCGTAAGTTCTCATGGTCAATAGCAGGGTATTCTTGCCTTGTAGGATTAAACTTAGACAGATGGGCAATGTAGCCAGTCTCGCTGGGGAAAAATTGGCTCCTGAGGTTTATAAGGGCATGTTTATGATCTTTTATAAGCAATTGTGTATACAGTACCTGTCTGCTGAAGTCAAAGATGATCATATCCTCTGCCCCACTCTTTAACTTCCTGCTTTATTTTTTTGACATAGGACCTCTCATGAACCTGAGTACTGCTGTAAGAGCTAAGCTGCCAGTACACTCCTAGGATCTGCCTGTCTCCACCATTGCCTGGGTTTACACGGGTGCTCGGGATTTGAACTTCGGTCTTCATGCTTGCCCAGATAGTGCTTTTACTCATGAGCCATCTCCCCAGATCTAAAAAGCCATGTTAAGAAACATTCCTCTCACTCTTCTATTTTTAGCAAGATTAGACAATCCTCCCGAACACTGAGACTATTTCTGTAGTGATAACCATGAAGGATCATTTTACTTTGACTTAATATTGCCTTGTTAGAAGCATCCACTTGTATACCTTTTCCCCCCTTTTTCTGAGATCTCACTACATAGATCAGGTTGGCCTCAGAGTTGTGACTGTCTTGCCTCTTGAGTGTTGGCGTTACAGACACCTTCTACATGCTTTTGAATGTCTTATAGGCACCTCCAAGTCTAACTTAGCTCGTGAAAAATTCTCAGTTCACACCACATTGACTCCATTTCTCTCCATTAGAGTCTTTTTCTGATCTTCTAGTCTTTTCTTCTCTGCCTTAGCCAAAATTCCTTACAAAGGTATTCCAAATTTGTCTAAATCTTGCTGTCCTTCTTGTCACTGCATTTTCTTCTGTATGTCTAGGATAACTACTAATTCATTTCCATTTATACTTTTATTCCCAACATTCTAGTCTTTGGGCAGAAATGGGAAATTCTAAAAGTTACATGTTATCATGTGGCTTTACGATTTGAAATATTCTAGTGATCTTTGTGACATTTAGTCTAAAGTAGACACCTCCCCCTCCCTCAACAGGATCTCATTGTTAGTTCTGACTAGACTGGAATTCACTTTGTATTCCAGGCTGGTCTTGAACTCACAGAGATCCACATGCCTCTGCCTCCTGAGTTCTGGGACTAAAGATGTACACTGCCATGCCTAGCTCAAGTCAGCATTCCCTGATCAGATGCGACCCAGCTCTGCATGACTTAGGGTAAATCATCTGCCTCTGCTGTTCTGTAGCCACTTTTCCTCATGTTCACTGGACTCTAGCCTCTGGCCTTTAGGTTTCCCTCTCATCAAATGGATTAGATTTCAAGGCCTCAAATTCATGGTTTTCTCAATGTGCGATGTTCTTCCCTCAGATTTCCCAAGGCTCGAATTTCATGGCTTAGGTCTCAGCTCTGCCTTCCTTTTTTTAAGTACCCTATGTAGTTGCAGCCCCTGACTGTTGTCTGTAATACCATTTGGTGGTATTTAGAGTATTATCCAGGGACTTAAACATTCTAAGCACATGTTCTACTACTGAGCTACACCCCAAGCCCCATAATTTTGTTTTAAATAGAGGGTATTTTCATTTGTTTGCTTTGGCTCATTTTACCTCTTTACTGCTGGAATGTAAAATAAGTGCTGTAACAACCAGAATGACTGATTTTTCCCAATGCCTAGAATATAATACTTTTTCAATAAATATATAAATAGATGAGAAATAACCTACAAGAGCTACTGGTAGGCCATCCTAATTTTTATTCTCCTGTGAGGCAGCTTATTTGGGTGTTTCAAGTTTATAAGTTGAGTAAACTCACTGTTCTGTTTGAACATGCTTCATATGTGAATTGATAATTGATAAGAGGACAGTCAATGTGAGTCCCTGGCTGGCTTAGAATTCTTGTGTAGACAAGGCTGGACTCAAGGGATCCACCTGTATCCTCAGAGCTTAGAATTAAAGTTGTCTGCCAACTATGCCTGGTTTGATGGTAGGATTTTATATTTGTGCTAGCTAGTGTTTTCCAGCAGAGCATATATAGTAGATCCATTAAACAGTGATGTAGGCAGAGGCTTTGGACTTGATGTCAGTCAGCACTGGGAGTATGAGTACTGCTGCCAGCCTTGCTTCTGTCAGTGGCATTTGGGTGCAGTCTGAGGCTAGAATAATAATAGGAGCTGACATGTGTGGAGATAGGCAGCTCTTTCTATATCATGTTTCAGACCAGGCTTTTTTACACTTTTCACATAAATTGTTTTAAGTTGGCAGAATAGCAGAAAAGTATCTACCAGAGGAACATTCTAGACAGTGGTGCTGTGAGTGTAAATGCCCTTCAGTTTTCAACTAAAAGGAAGGAAAGAGCCAGAAGTGGCTCATCTAATGGTCTAAAATCTTTGAGATGTGTTTGTTTTAGAGGGAGAGGGTTTGGATATGAATGAAAAAATAGCACTACTTATTCCCTTGCAAAGGTTGGAACTTCCTTTAACTTCTAAAAACATTTATTAGTTGAGGAGAAGGAGCATGCACATGAAGGTAGGACAAAGGACAGCTGGTGGGAGTCAATTCACTCCTTCTACCACATGGATCCCAGGGACTGCCTGGATTGTCAGGCTTGCCGCCCATGCTGACACCAGCTGGGACATCTTAGGGCCTTTTTCTCTATTTTAAAAACATGAAAAGTTAAATATTTTCTTTTTTAAAAAAAATCTATATCTTGTTATTTAAAATACATCATTTTGGTGTGCTTTTTTTTTTTTTTTTTTTTTTTTTAGTTCTGTGCCTTAGTGACAGAGTTATAAGTAGAAACTGCAGTGTGCTAATGATTTTGACATTTTTTACTAGGAAAATTAAATCTCTTGTTTCTTTCATATTTCCCTCTTATAAAAATGAACACTTAGGGCTGAGAAGATTGCTCAGCTGTTAAACCCTGATGGCCTGATCCCTGGGATGCATCTAGTAGAAAGAAAGCTGACTCCCAGAAGTTGTCTTGAACTTCTATACACTTGTTGGAATACATGCATTCCATCTCCCATTGTGTGTTTAAATGTAATTTTAAGAAAATAAAGATCGAGGGCTGACAAAATAGCTTAGTCAGTGAAGATATTTGCCACCTAGCCTGATGACCTGAGTTTGATTCCTATGTCCAGTACCCAGTTTTTGTTTTTTTCTTCAAAGGTTGTGTCTTGGATTTCTTGGACACTAGATGTCACTGTTGTCCAGTAAGGCACTATTACATCTTAATAGCTTTCACCATGTCAGATATCTACCTGCTTAGTAAGTTGCGAGGAAGCCTAAAATGGAAGGTGCTAGTGGAGAGAACAGCAGGAGTGAGCTAGCCATGAGCGTGATGTGACAAATACTTTGCTTAGGGCCTTTTCTCCTTTTTGTGGTACTGGAGGGTGTACCTAGGACCTTACATGTGCTAGGCATTCTCTCTACACTGACATATGTTACCAGCCTTTTTATTGTGAGACAGGATCTTTCTAACTTTCCCAGGCTTGATCACTCTCTAACCCAGGGTAGAGCTTACCCTCTCACATAGCTGGAATATAGGCCTGCACCATCAGGTCAAGCTTGCTTCTCTATCTGTGTGTGTGTGTGTGTGTGTGTGTGTGTGTGTGTGTGTGTGTGTGTGTGTGAGAGAGAGAGAGAGAGAGAGAGAGAGTGTGTGATATACATGTGGAAAGTTAGAAGACAACTTGTAGGAGTCTGTTCCTCCTCCTACCATGGGTGTTCTGGGGGTTGACCTCAAGCATTGTGGCAAGTGCCTTTACTCCCTGAGCCATCTTACCAGCCACAAAACAAAGATCTTAAGGAATATAAAGGAAATTGAAAAATTATATGACTTCCTTAGAAATACGCCTTACCTCTCAAGGGTGAAATTGAGTTTTGCAGAGGGTCCTCATGACTGTCAGTGACACTGAGTTCTGAACCACGAGGACCAGCTTGTCCTGGTGCAGCACGTCAGCATACTTCCAGGAAGAAGGTTTTAAATGAGGACCTCCGCAAACAACACAGGAGCCTGAAGGCCGTTTTCAAAAGCATGAGCAGGGCTGGGCACATTCAGGAGTCTGATACAGGAGGTTACTTGGTGAAACAAGTCATAAAAACAAGTCCTGGGGTTGTCCTGACCTCCACACATGCACATAGTGAAACACATGCCTTCATTCACATACACATGTTCACAAACACACAGGATCTGGTGGGTTAGGTCTATATCCCAACCACTTGGGAAGACAAGACTGGCAGGTCTCTGGTTTAAGTTCTGCCAAGCAGCCTGTGGATTATATTTGTTGTCCTCCGGATTTACCTTTGCTTTATAGCATTTTTTCCTTTTGGTTAATCTGACCCTTAACCTGTAACTCACAGTAATCTCAACAAGGTTGGAATTTCTGCAGAAAATAAGGAAGTAGAGAAGAAGCTGTCTGTGAAACCCATAGAAACCAAGAACAAGTTCTCCCAGGCAAAGCTGTTGGCAGGAGCTGTGAAGCATAAGAGGTCAGCGAGTACACAGTGTAAATCTCCCTCTGGCCACTTACTCTGAAATGCCACTTGTAATGGTACCCAGAGCGAATAGTTATTCATCATGATGCTGCGACAATGCTGTAGTGTGCTTGCCTTTCTCTCCCCTGCCGGAGTTAGTGTCTCTACAGCCTTTTACCCTAGACTGACTGAATCACTCATTTAGCTGGCATACAGCTCCTTTTCATTGAGCACCTGCCGGGTGTTAGACTTCCTCTAATGGTCTCACAAGTTTCTCTCACAAGTTCCACAGAATGTCATTTGTTATGACCCGTTTTACAGATGGAAAGACAACTGGAGATGTGAAGAGCTTTTGTCCTAGGTTGTACAGTAACAAAGCAAGAGTTCAGTGTTTAAGCTTTTGTGTCTCTAGGCAAATAAGGCATGAAGCACCTCAGGGCTATTTGTGAGGGGTGACAGGTTAGAGAAGCACAGCTCTGCCCGGAAGTTAGAAAAAGGCTTAGAAAGATGTTGATGGGATAGAGCACCGGGGCTCTGATTGCAAGCAAGGGAGAAAACAACCCAGAGAGCAGCTGTTACAAAGGCAGAGTGAACATGGCAGCTGTGATGGCGTCATAGGCCTGGCTGCCGCTCACTTTGACTGATGCGGGGGTAGCGCTGCCGTAGATTCTGATAAGTCTTTGTCATGTTTCCTCTTCCCTTTTCAAATCCTGAAATGGCACCAGAGTGATTGAATCAGCTTGACCAACCAGACCGTGGGCGAAATGATGTTAAGTGCAGTCTATTAGGAAAATCAATATGGTGTATTGGCAACGAGCCACATGTTTTGAATAGAGTGTATTGATGCAGTCTTGTGGTTTGGCACATCATCTATCTGCTGCAGATGTTCCTAAGAACACTGAGCACATGTAAAAATGTCATCGTGGTACAGCAGCGGCAGGGGAGGATCCGTGGTCTGAGGAGGGCCCTTAACAAACCAGGAATCTTTTATCTCCACATAAGCGTTTCAAAGTCCACCAACTCCAAGGAATCAGAATGGGCCAGTTTGATGAGCTAACTGGTGGGCAGTTAGCCCTTGGGTACTCCTGCTGTTGCCAAGTGGGTTTTCCAACTGTCTCCCTTGATTAACTTTCTGTCATATCTAGGGAGGGCTGTGCTAGCTTACTTGCTCATCTGTATGGAGGCTCTCTTGGGTTTTCAAAGTACATCATTTAATGTTGCTTTCACAGCAAGGTGGCACGTTAGACTCTTAGGGCAGGAATTTCTGATCTTCCGTGCCCTAATTTATTAAAATAACATGAGAATTTATCCTAGCCTTCACACCAATTCTGGTTCAGTCAATTTAAAGTGTGGGAGTCTAAGTCATTAAAGTTGTGTGGACGATTCAGATTCCCTGTGAAAATCTGGAATCGCCCAGAGTGTGTATGTAGCATCAAAACAAAACAACCTGCTTCATATCTTTAAAGAAATCATCTTTGCTTTTTTCAAGTTTACACTTACTTTTATTGTTATAAATTCCTGTAGGATGCCCACGCTCATTCATTTTCAGTCTTTTCAATTAAAGGCACTAAAGGCTATTTACTTCTTCCAGCTCTCATTGAGTACAGCTTTATCTTTCCTTCTGTGTATTTAAAATTGCTAGTGTGATTTCTTCTTTGCCTCAGGAATAATGTTGAAATATATTTAAAATTTTTAATATTGAGTTAACTTGTTCATACTTCACTTGGTTCTAAAATGTTCCTCCAGACATATTACTATCTAATACAGTATTTTTTCCTTACTAATTTATAACTTTATTGTGTTGTGTAATTGTGGTTTGTAGATCATGATTTTTATTTTAAGGCAGAGTCTCACTGTGTAACCTTGGCTGGCCTGGAACTTGCTATAGACCAGGCTACTCTCGATACCTGCAACTGCTAGTATTACAGGTGTGCTCTTAGACTATGTCCTTGTTCCTGAAGCTAATGTTCTAAGCGAGTTTGAGGAGACTATGTTTGTGTCTTTCTATCCCTGTCTCTGTCTCTGCCTGTGGATCAGGATGTAGATCTCAGCGACTGCTCTAGAACCATGCTTCCCACAACGATGATAATGAGCTAAATCTCCAAAACTCAACTAAATGCTTTTTTGTAAGAGTTGATCTGGTCATGGTACCGCTGTACAGCAACAGGACAATTAGAATACCAGGATTTTACTTAGTTCAGATGTAGTCAGGTTGACAAGGAAGAATGGGCATCACCATACCCCAGCTTTTCCATGCTAATATTTGCCTTGATCCTCTTTTTATCTATACTTCTAGTTATAATCTTCTGGGTATTAAGTTTTTAGGGGTTTGTTTTCATTTTATTCAGTTTGTAGATAAACACCTTTAAATGCCTTTAAAATATATTTACTTAATCTGTTTTTTACTAGTTTGTGTAGTGTATATTCAGATTTCAAAATATAATTTCTACCATCTTAGTATTGTCTTTTTACTTTTGTTCTTTATTTTGTTTATTATTTATTTATAGAGCAGGGTGTATGGATTTCAGTTTGTCCTCAAAGTCACTGTACAGCCAAAGATGACCTTGGACTTCTGATCCTCCTACTCCACCTAAGAACTGGGATTACAGGGGTGTGCTACCATGCCTGGTTTATGCTAATTTGGGGGTTGAACCCGCAGTTTTCCCAGGGTATTGACCATAGTCTACCAACTGAACTACATCCCCAAGCCGCCTCTCTCTTTTGTTTTGAAAGTATTTTTTTCTTATATTCTTGCTTTGGGGGGAAAAATGAGTAAGACCTTAATTTTTCTTTTCATTATGTGTACTTTGTTTTTTTCTTTTAGTGATAGGCCTTGAAACTTACCAGGCTGGGCATACTCAGCAAAACTAAATAGCTGTCTTCCTACCTTACAAAAATATGCAAACAGAAGACCTTGGGCCAGGGCTGTAGTTCTATGCTAAAGCACTTGCCTGCTGTTGAGAAGCTGTGGGTATAATCTCCTCCCTCCAAAGAGACTTCTGATCCTGTGCTACATTCACTCTCTTCTATATACTACTATTGCCCCAGACCTTATTGTGTTTTATGCCACAAATTAGACTCTGGCTCATATATATATATGAGATAACCTGTTTAGACTTACATCACCATCTTTTCCACTGGAATAATGTCTCTTTCCATTGAAATGTATTTTTTTTTTTTTAACGTATTCTTTATATAATGTGTTAGTGAAAGTCTTTTGGGTGACTTTGCATGTTATCGGAAATATTTCCTTAAATTTCTGTCATTGTGAATACTCTTGAAATCTGTCAGTGGTTCTACCCAAGTTGAATGATAAAGATGACAGAAAGGCAAAGTTCGCATACTCTGTCCTTTGGTTTCTAACAGATGTTATATTTGGGAAGAGGTTAGGAAGTGAGATGAGGGCTTTTCACTCCAATCACCCCAGCTCCTTGAGACTGCCCCAGACTCTCTTAAATATTTGTGGTGCCCTGTTCTAGGTGTTGATTCCTAAGATTCAATGTAGCTCAATTCACTGTGCTTTTTGTTACAGCTCAGAGAGTAGCAATAGTGTGAAGAGACTGAAACCAGACCCTGGCCCAGATGACAAGGCTCAAGGTGGGTGTGGTCCCTTCATTCTACTCTTGATGGACAGGACTCACTGCATCTTATGTAAAGGGATGCATTATTTTTCTTTAAACAAGCCTGCCAAAATCTTAACTAGGAACTTATACCTCAAATATGTCAGCTGCCCTACAAAAGTAGTCTGTTACAAACCAGTAGTGCTGATAAATAACAATTGAGTTGTCCCAGGAGTGCTTATAATCCCTAGTCAGATGACCTCTGCTCACAAAGGGTTCTTCTCTGTCTTGCCAAATGTCAAGTTTCTTGATTTCACTGTGGGAGATAGCGTGCCAAGCTCCTGCTGATATGGTTGGATTGGGCTGAGCTTTGAGTCTTTTTATGACTTTTTATGTGATGAAATCTGCCTCTTTATTAGGTAGCATGAAATTTTAAGTAAAGGGGAGTACTCTTGGGCCTGAATGAGGAACTAAAGAGTTTTTTAGTTCCACTTGTGGGATTGAGGATCTAAATTCAACTCACTTGGTCATCTGTAAGATAGGGCTTACATTTACTTCTTTCTCAAACAAATACTATATGCTTTTTAAATTGTTTCTCTACACTACCAGGAATGGTAGCTGTACCTTTAAAAAGGATCATGAACGAACAGCCTCTTCCCACACCCTCTTCGTCTACTTTCATTTCCACAGAGAAACACCATTGTACATTTCTTATGTCTGCATCCAGACCTATTCTCCATATGCAGAAGCAGTTTTACATTTGTCATTCTAAATGCTGCCTTCCTGTCCCTGCATTCTTGTACAAGCTAGGCAAGAAATACCCTTCTCTGCTGGGAGGAAAAACCCTAGAAGAAACCAGCTGTCCTTAAAGCTTGCTTCAATCTTGCTCTTTGCAGGGGAAGGCTTTGCCTTGGTCCTCAGAAGGTAGCCTCTACTCTGATAGAAATTCAACTTCCCCACTGAAAATTAGCTTGAGCAGAGCCAACAAGCATGCAAGGTGGCCTATGTACTCTCTCCATCTGCCTGCATTCCAAGAACATTCTCTATTCATAATTTCCTGTGCTAAGTTGATATGACAATGTGGTCCAGCAAAGGCAGGAGCTGGCAGGAAACATCCGCAAATGGTGAGATCAGAGGGCACCGTTTTGTTCTCTTTGAGCAGTTAACTGCTTTTGGAATGAAATTTGTCAGAGTTGCAGTCTCTTTTCTCTCTTGAAACTTCCTACATAATTGGAGGTTCTGGTCCTTTCACTTAAGCAATTCCAGTGTCACAGTGGTTCAGATTCCTGCCGCAGCTCTGTACTTCACTCCATCCTTCCATAAGCCAGCTACAGCCTTCCTCAGCACTCTGAACTTGATTCTTTGTTTTATTCTCTGCTTCTGAAAGCATTCTGTGTGGTGCATAATAATATAACAAACACTCAAGGAATGAATTATACAACTCATTATCATGTCTCAAATATTAAAACTATCAGATTTTTACCGTCATCTTACCCTCCCCCATTCTGCTATGACTGAAATGGCCAGGATGCTCTTTGAATTTTTATATTTGCCTTTTAAAAACAATGTCTGCATCAGTAATATATGTATATAATGCTGCAGCTTCTCATGTTTTGTTTTTAGGCTTTGTCATGACACATGCATGGGCATGTTCCTGGTTCTCCCCACATTGCATATTTTGTCCTACTTGTCACCCTTTTTATTTAGCACATCCTACAGACCATTCATTTCCAATGAAGACACAAGCTTGTCATTCTTTCCTTCCCTCTTCCACCACAGTCCTGTTGATGGACGCCAGAGCCTTTCCACCAAGTATGCCGAGCCACAGCCCAAGATTCTTTATTTTTGACAGTGCCTACTGTCCTAGTTTGCTTCTCTTTGCTGTGATAAACTTCAACCAAACTAATCTGGGGAGAAAAAGGTTGATCTTACACTTCCAGTTTTCAATTCATCCCTATAAGAAGTCAGGGCAAGAACTCAGTGGGAGCAAAGCAGGAGCCATGGAGACATACTGCTTCCTGGCTTTCTGGCTATGGCTTGTTATGCCATCTGCCTGGGGTGGCACTGCCTGCAGTGGGCTGGGCCCTCCCACAGCTATCATTAATTAAGAAAATGCCCCACAGACATACCCACAAGTCAATCTATGAGGCCAATTCCTCAGTTGAGGTTTTGTCTTCTCAGGTGATTCAATTTTTGCCAAATTGACAAACAATTACCAGTGAAGCTTCTGTAGACACCTCCCTTTTGCTGCTATAAACAGTTTTCAGAACATTATTAATGTTGTGAGAAGTCCTTTCCCGTAGAAATATAAACAACATCTGTGCCCATTTTAGAAGGCCCCAACAACAAACCAAAGTAAGATTCTACCAGAATTCATTCTGAAGAACCAGTGTTTATTGGGCTTGCTTACAGAGAATGAGTGAGAGGTTACTGAGAGATTCCAGAGCAGCCACACTGGGGGTTGGGTGGAGGCTTCACCTAGCATGGATGATGGCTTGCCTCCCTTAGCTGCATAGATAGAGCTTCCCTCAGCCTTCCCCAGCCTATGCACTCGAGCACCTTCTAAATATCCCCACACTCTAAATATTAGCACACACTAAATATCCCGGGTTCAGTTAGGGCAGAATCATATATGGCCGGGAGGAGTGCCTACAGTCTCCTTTTATGGCACAAAGATGATCACAGTCTTTCTGTGATTATTTGGGTTGTTTTGTTACTCAGGAGCTTTTCCAGGGAAAACCTTGGCACTGTGCCTGGGGCCTGGAAAGGACCCTTCACCTTTAGAAAGGGAGGTCCAGTGACCCTCCCTACCCTCTCCTGCTCTGAGGGAACGTCAGTAGTCAACAGGCCTGATCAGAATGGTCTCTTGCAAGCAGCCACAGCTGATCTGATAAAGATAGTGGTTATTTTATTCCAAGGACCATGTTCTGCAACAGTTGGTTAAGTTTGGAGGTCATTGCCAAATTTCCTTGAGCTGTTTCACACGGTTCCTTCTTAATACATCGTTTCTGTTTCTGTGTTTAGAACTCAGGTTAGAACTCAAGTTTTATTGTTCTGTGAACTGCTCCTGTCATCTCTGTCTTCTTTTAAAAAACAAGGTCTCATGTAGGTCAAGCTGGCCTCAGACTTACTTTGTAGCCAGGGATAATCTTCAGCTTCTAATCTTCCTGCCTCTGTTTCCCAAGTACTGGGATTATAGGCATGCATTACTGTCTTAGGGTTCCTGTTGCTGTGATGAAACACCATGACCAAAAGCAAATGGGAAAGAAAGGGTTTTTTTGGGTTACACTTCCATATAACAGTTCATCAGAAGCAGGAGCTGATACAGAGGCCATGGAGGGGTGCTGCTTTTTGGCTTGCTGCCCATGGCTTTCTCAGCCTGCTTTCTTTTTTCTTTCTTTCTTTTTTTTTTTTTTTTTTCCTTTTTTCTCTTTTTGAGACAGGGTTTCTCTGTGTTGCCTTGGCTGTCCTGGACTCTTTTTGTACACTAGGCTGGCCTCTGCCTCCCCAAGTGCTGGGATTATGGGTGTGTGCCACAAAGCAGGGTCAGCCTGCTTGCTTATAGAATCCAGGACCACCAGCCCAGGGATGATGGCACCACCCACTATGGGCTGGACACTCTCAAATTAATCACTAATTAAGAAAATACCCTACAGCCAGATATTATCATGGCACTTTCTCAGTTGAGATTCCCTTCTTTCAAATAACTCTAGCCTGTGCCAAGTTGACATAAAACTACCCAGTACAATTACCATGTCAAGTTTTTTGCAGTGGGGGATCAAACCTAGGACTTTACACCATGCTAGACAAGGCCTCTGGTATAACTGAGCTGTCCCAGGGTGCTGCTGCTGCAGAAGAGGAGAGCGATTATGATTACTACTGTTATTACAGACTCTCTGTTGGCCCTGGCTGGTATTGAACTTGAAGCAGTCTTCCTGTCTTAGCCTCCCAAGTGTTGGGATTGTAAATGTGCACTGCCATGCCCTGTTCTTTGTGTTTTTTTGGTTCTTGATTGATTGCTTCTTTATTTTTATTTTTATTTTTTTTTAGTGCTGGGGATCAAGCCCAGAGCCCAAGTACATGCTAGGCAAACACCTACCACTGAATCATTTCCCCAGCCCCACAGCTTGTTTTATGTATTCTTTTAACAGATTAGAAGAGCTCTTTACATCTTAAAAGTAGTTAGCTTTTTTATATTTGTTGCAAACATTTGCTGCTGCCTCCTTGAAACCATTATCGCTGTCTCCCAAGAACTGCTCTCGTTCTGCCTTTTGAGATGTTTGAGTATAGTTTATCTTTAGCAGTTTCTCCCTTCCCTACTAGAGAGGAACAGAAACCCTTAGCTAAATTCTGTGTCCTAGACAACTGGTAACTCTTATCCTCTCAGTATAGCCTTGGATTCAATGTCCCTTTTGCATTCTCTTGCGGTATCTGCACAAGTGAGGTGTAAATTTGCAGAAGGCAAACCCCAAAAAAGTTTGTCAGTCCCAGGCAGTGACGTAGGAATGCTGAGCTTTGCGCTCCAGTGAGCTTTGGCATCACTTTCGTGCAGAATCTTCTGCTGTAGTTTTATTGTGTTACACTCTAGCCTGTCTACTTAGCAACTTATTTGACTCTACCAAGCAGAGAGAAAACCTACATACAAGTTGTCACAGTGATTAAATGAGGCTGGAAGAAAGAATGGAGTACCATTCTCAGTTTAGGTTTGTTTGATTTTTGAAAATTTTGGTTTTTAATTGTGGGTGTATGTACATGCTTGGATGTGTGCACACATTGTGTGCACATGAATTCAGCAATATGGAGACCGTCAGAGGGCTTCCAGGTCCTCCAGGTAGGAGTTATAGGTAGTTGCAATGTGTGAACTGGCTGATGCGAATGTTGGGAACTGAACTCAGGTTCTCTTCAAGAGCATAGGATGTGTGCTTTTAATCTCTAAACCATCTCTCCAGACTCCTAACTTTTCCTTTAATTGTCAAGTTCTGCATATTGTAGATTGAGACCTTTGTCATTGAAGTAGCTGAATCACTGTGCATATCCTTGGAAGAAAAGAGCCATATATGCCACTATATGTGGTAACATTGAACATGGTTTTATAATGTTTCCTTCAGTGGTTCTCAGCATAAAAGAACTAAAAGCAAAACTGATGATAAGTCAGTTTCTGAGGTGCTCGTCTCCCCATCATGGGAAAATGGCCCTTAATATTTATAATGTCATGACTAATCACCGCTGATTGGTATTCTGGTCCCTGAGGATGGCATCATAGAATTCTTAGTGCTGCTCACAGGTGGTCTCTTAATCCAGCCTCCTATTGAGGACCACAAGAGAGCTAAGAAGGCATCAGCCCTGAGTCCCACTTGCGGTAATACCATGACTTGTGAAGACAGGGAATCAAACTATGATGGGTGATTCTAAATGGTTTGTTCCTCATCTCAGAACTGGTGGGTGGCAAGAGAGTGTGGGCAGACTCCCTGTCCTAACTCTTTTCTCTTCTCTGTCAGTTCCTTCAACTGTAACACAAAGATGCCCAAAGTTTTCCCATGACTGCATAGAGTTCTGCAGTGCTGGGGCTTTTTTTTTTTTTTTTTCTTTCAGAAAGCCCCAGCATGGTGTCAAGGGCCTGGGGTGACATCTTCAGCATTAGGAAGAGTGGTGACTAACTTCCAGTCCTCCCTTTTGCAGAGGCCCCGTCCTGCATGTCTCGTGGAAGCCCTTCTCTGAGCGGACCCTCCATCCACTGCCCACCTGCTGCTGTCTGCATAGGCATCCTCCCTGGCTTGGGTGCCTACTCTGGGAGCAGTGACTCCGAGTCCAGCTCAGATAGTGAAGGCACCATCAATGCTACTGGGAAGATTGTCTCCTCCATCTTCCGAACCAATACCTTCCTCGAAGCACCATAGCTCATGACATTACCATAGGGAGCATCTCCCTTAGAGGGTTAGATGTCAGTTCTGCCTCGGCATCACCTCCCTCAAAAAACTTCTTTACCTGCTTCCTGTGCACATGTGACATTTTAACGTAACCCAGAAACGAGCCACAGTCTACTTGTGGATCCAACCTTGCTTGATTTATATACTCCAGTACAGATGACCAAACCTGTCCCGTTGATATGAGGTTGGGGTTCAGGCAAGCCTCTGAAATGCCACTGACAGTGCAAGGACAGGCACCAGATGGCTTACAAAGGTTCCCTGTACCTTATTGCTTGCTTGTTTTTCTCCTCTCCTAGCAGCACAGGAAGCAAGGGCAGACATCTTGATATTCTATTGTAGATGAGTGGCCTGCTTGGTTCTACCATGTTGCGTGTGGACATAGAGAAAGGGGATGATGAGCTGATGACATGGAGCTCTTCCCAAAAACTATCCTTCCTGGAAGTTGTGTGGCTAAGTAAAGATTACGAACCACACCCACAAGGCTGTGAGCCAACAGAGGTAACACTCTTCCATGTTGTTGTTCTCCCCTCTCCATCCAGCCTGAGGAGGTAGGCAGGAGTGGATAATAAGGAAATGTCCCTCTTCTGCCCACCTTCTCTCCCTGAAAAAATGTTTTGATTTTGTTTTTGAAATAAAAGATTTAGTTTAAGATTCTGAATGTTAGAGAAGCAAACTTACTGAATCATAGCCAGAAACCATAACTGCCGATAGCTATGTTAAAGAGATGACTAATGCCTAGCAGTTTCTGGACTCCTCAGACTGCAAACTAGTGAGACATGCCTGCGTGATGTGGTTCTACTCTACTCCACAGGCACTGCTGTTTGCACATACAGAGTTGTAGCTTTTGACTGTAAAGCTATTTCCAGCCCAAGGTGTTGCCTCAGTACTTTTCCTTTATCCACTGAGCCCCACCCACAACATCTCCTGAGCCATGAGCAGCCAAAAGCAGCATCAGGGTCTTGCCTGTTTCTGTCTCATGGGGGGAGGGGGAAGGAGCAGGTGTGCAGGACTCAGGTTGGGTCATAAATATGACAGTCTGTGTGCCCTGCTCAGAACAAGCCTGAGCAGTTCTCTTCTCCCCAGTCCCAGGATCCATTGTTTTTTTCCTTCCTATGGGTGTGAGACGAGTGAGACACACCGAACGTGTTGGCACTGACAGACTGGCAGGCAGAGGAAGCTCCTCAGTTTTAACGTGGGCTGAGAGGGCCCTGGATCTCTTCCAGCCCTTCCTTTCCCCTCCCAGTGTATTGACACTGCTGCCCACCAGCAGATGGTAGTTTTCCCTCACCCATCGCAGAAGCCCGTGAGTGCTGCCGTCCACTGCAGAGCCTCCCAGTGCTGATCTCTCCTGACAGTGCAGGCCTGTCAGCCCCTCCTAACAAACACAAACCACAAACCTAACAAACCACAAACACCTTCTGCCTTTTGTGTCATTGTTCCTGAGGCTGTGCTGTCATTCCCGCAGCATGTCCGTGTGTCCAAAGCAGCCCTGAGCCATTTCAGGAGGCAGACCAAGACATCAAAGTGTACTTCATGGTCTCTGTTGATACTGAAAAAGGCTGCAGGGTTGCAGGATTTAACACTGTCCATTACCTTCACATTTTAAACCTGTCAGAGCAAGCTCTTGCTCTGTAGTACATGTACTTCCAGTTCTCCCATCACTCAAAGCGTTGAGTGGTCTTCAGATCCAGGTTTCTTTTCTTTTTGACAGAGTCTGCTGTACCATCCTTTTGCTTTAGCTTCCTGAGTGCAAGGATTACTGGTGAATGCTGCTATACCCAACTTGAGACTGTGATCTCTGCTTTTGGTGTCTGAGGACTGGTGGCCTTTTTACCACCAGTTCATTGTGCCTAACAGTGTAGCAGCCTGTAACTGAAATACCATCTCTGGCAAAGCAGGCCAACCAACAGGAAGCAGCCTGCTCTCCCAGGGCTGACCTATGGTTCCCTCCCTCCCACGGAAGAACAGAATGAGCAGAAACAGAAAGAAACCCCACTCTGATCCTCAGAACTCAGTCAGCCGTGTACCTTGGCAGGTCTCACCTGGGGATCAGATCAACCAAGAAGATTCCCTCTGTACTGACCTTGTACAGACTTTTCTTATTCCCTAGACAAGCGAGTGGAGCAGCTTATAGCATGTCATAGTTCAGGTGTTTACACTGACATAAAGCAAGGAAGCTAGGAATAACCAAAAGTATACAGGATGCATGCATGGGTTTTATGCAAACATCTTTTTATAGACAGCAGTTGGGCATCTGCAGATGTTGACCTCTGAGGAGGGTCTATGGACTAATCCCACCAAATGTACTTCAGAACCCTGAGTAACTGGGATTTCACAGTGGGTAAGAATTCTTAGTACAAAAGATGGTTGGAGCTGGTTTCTTTGAGACTTGTACATTATCTCAGGTGCATAATTCCTACAATTCTGAGACTGCTTGGAGAAAGCCAGCAATGATCTGTTGCCAGCTCCACCTGGGAGACAACTGTCCAACTTGTATCAGTACTGCCCATACCCTTCCAGTCACTTCCTGTCATTTGTCTACCTAAAGCTATTGGCCACTTGGGTGGGAAGGAGACTTGAAATTCAAGTCACCTATTTTCCCTCTGTAAGAAGCCAGCAGGTTGAAGTGCCTGTAACTAGACCACTGAGTCCCTGCCTGCACAGCTTCCAGGACCCAGCTGAAAGAAAGTTCCTCAGCCTGAGGTAAGATATGCACACACACAGGAGCACCCACTGCTCCTGTGCCTTTACTCAGAGGTCACTTTAGTCCTTACTGCTTTTTTTTTTTTTTTTTTTTTTTTTTTTTCCTTTTGCTTCCCAGCAACTAACTTAAGGGAAATGCTTGGTTTACGTAGACCAGGCCTGCTTTTCCAGCCCATTGAGAATGGCCTCTTTTCCACCCTCTGTAGATAGGCCATAGTGATCAGTATACAGGCAGACAAAGCCTGTATACTGTCCCACCCCCTCGGAAAGAGGAATAACACCAACTAATGTGGCCAGAGAGATCCTCTAGGTTAGATGTCTCCCGGGTCTGGGTAGGGTATCCAGAGCATATGATCATGTGCACACGGGTTTGTGTGGTACTGGCATCGCCCACTACAGCAGTGACATGTTTGGAGGGTCAGATCTTGTCGGCTCCACCAACTTCTGCCCTAGCTCCAGTTAGCGGAATGTTAATTGCATAGGCACACAGGGTTCCTTGGCTTGAGCGTCCTTGCTGTTGGTATGTGATTCAGCTGTCATCTTAGGCCCCTCCAGGAAAACAAGGAGAGCTCCGTGACAGTGCACTGCCATTTGGACTTGGGTAGCTTCCTGGCATCCTGCCTTGCCCAGCCTAGTTATACATGCTAGAATGGAATGCAGGTACTTCTTGGTGTTCAATGCTTGGCTGGAATCTGGACAACACCTCATAGTCAAAAGTTGCACAACCATGCCTTAATGACTTTGCCATGGGCTGGTGTTGTTCCCTTACCTGCTAGAGAAATGATTTCAGAGGGAATTGGAGTGGCATTAACAGGCAGCCCTGACCTCAGGTGCAGAGGAGAAAGGCCCCGTGGGAGTCAGGCTACTCTTTGGTTCCTGGACACCACCGAGGCCTGCTATGCTAGCATTGTTTTAGTGCACATGTTTTTTTATTCTGAAAAGCACTCTGACGACAGTCCTGCTATACATTCCATAGAGGAACCCCAAACTCCTAGAGGCCCAATAACTTGCCCGGATCACCCTGCTATATGACAAATACAGAATTTTTCCTTATGCCTAAAGGCTGGCCTTCTGTGGGTTTTTTGAGACTTTTGTCAGTACACAATCACCTACTTGGGAGCTATATAGACTCCCTCATTGGCCGAGCCAGGGATAAATGGTCAGTTAGTAGCTGGGTGTGGTGGCACACATTTTTAGTCCTAGGTCCCAGGAGACAGAAACAGGATTGTTGTGAGTTCAAGGCCAGCCTGGTCTACATGGTGAGTCCACAGCTACATAGTGAGACCCTGTCTCAGAAACAAAACACGAGTACCTAACGGCCACAGAAGTTTCTCACTCCCACCATATACGCCATGGCTCCTGAGATTGGGACCTGCCTGCTGCTGTCCTATTCCAGCAGCTAGGAAGGACTAGCCAGGAGGAAGAGGCACAGATACCTGGCTTAGGTGTCCACAGAGTGCAGGTCATTAGCAGCTTGAGTGGGATGCCCCTTCCAGCGCTGAGGAGGATGGATGCTGGGTATGCTAGGATATGCATGCACAACGGCCAGCCACACTTCCATCCATATTCGGCCTCTCTAGTAATCCTGGTGTTTACGTTTCTACAGGGTTGTGGTTGAGCTATGGAAGGTTCATGAACAGCGCTGGTACAGGAGCTAGAAATATGCTCAGTAAAACATTCACTGCCACAGTCACATGTTTGCCTGTCAAAAGGCCTCACTCCTCAAGAGTGAGATATGAGTGTTAAACTGTGGAAGAGAAGAAACAAAGGAGGGCTGTATGCTAAGAGGGACGTACATGCAATAGAAACAGCAAGGACAAACGTAACCTTGTTTAGGGTCCTGAAGCCAAAGACATTGCCTAGGACATCCAGAGGAGGAAGTGGGTGGCTGCAACTGCTGTCTAGCTGTGGTGAAGAGTGAGTAGGACAGTGTGTTCTGGGTGCCATGTCCCGTGTCAGTCTCACAGTAATCACTACTGCTGACATGCATGTCCCCATGTAGAAGTGATCACATTGACTCTTTAAGAATTGGGGTGGGGGTTGAGGGTTGTTCTATTAATTTTCTTTTCCAGACCAGTGAGTGCCCATTGACCCTCACTAAGGAAGGAGTTTGACAGCCAACATCTGAAATTCCTTTATTACCCTGAGTATAACAAATAGAACACAGTCACAGTATAAAAACAGCAGACCACAATACAAAGGATGCACTAGGGATACATTCCTTCCTGCAGCTAGTTACTTAGAAAAAGCCAGTTATGATTGTAAAAATTTTATTCTCTTTAATAACAATAATTCCACTAAAATTATACAAAGTACATTCAATACTTAGAGTGGCAGAAGGGCAGGGAGAGGAAGCCAGTTTGTCCTGGAAGCATCATCCGTTGATTCTGACAAAGAAAGCCCAGCTGGGCTAGGGGAAGTTGGGGGTGGAGGTCTGGTTGTAAAAAAAAAAAAAAAAAAATTGTGGATTGGTTTAAAAAAAAAAAAAAAAAGCCACCCACGAGGAAGCAGGGTGAACGTGCATGTTCCTGGGGAGGCTAGGGGCTCAGCTGGCATGCTTCTGCTGGGCATGGACTCAGGCAGGCTCTGAGTTGGTAGGGGGCAGGTTTTTATGCTTGAAATACTGTACTACTTGCTGAGGCAGCTCCGCCAACACTGCTTTGGCCAAAGTTTCTTTTGCTGCCTATGGGGTCCAGGTCAGGAGAAAAAGGAAAGAGGAGGAGGATTAATGAGCAGAAAGTGAGAGATTCACTCTCCCAGAACTGTGATAGCAGGGGCCCATTGAGTACAACAGGGCTGAGGGCCAGGGCCATCTGAAATGAGTGGCCCTCAGCCCAGCCTAATCCCACCACTAGCAGTGACTTCCTTGCTGGTGAAGTGCTCTGCCCTTACAGGATGGAGGTATTTGGGAAAAGACCCTGGGGGATGAATTTTGGGGGGAGAAATGACTGTTTAGCTTTCTCAGCCAGGAGTATTTCCTGACCAAGACTTTGGCTATGAGAAGCATCAGTGAACAGTCATGACTGAGCAGCCAAAGTGTCAAGTCACAGATTCAGACAGCAACAGATGACCAATACCCCACCTTTGCCCTAGGAAGCCAGGGGAAGAAATAAAATCATTCTAGGCAGATATATGGTGACCATTGGGCCACTTGCTAGAGACTGGTTCCCAGGATTTAAGCCCTGGCATCCCCATAGGCTGTAGCTGAGGGAACCGAGGCTCACTAAGGTCACAGCTTACCTAAGACCATGCAGTGCTCATTACTGGTCCTATTTAGATTTAGAACCTAGGCTGGCATTACACAGATGCCACCCAAAAGTCCTGGATCCCTCCAAAACACAGAATATCTTGTGACCCTTCTGCCAACCCTGGCCTCCTCACGTGCCATTTACTCCTCTCTGTAAGGCCAGAGCCACTTCTAGGAAGAAGCTGGTTACCACCACTATCACCAAACCTCTCCCATATTTGGGGGAAGAAAGCAGACTAACAGGAGGAGCTTCTCAGCTTCCATATTCCCAGATAAGGGCAGGAAGCCCCAGCTCTGGGCCTTGGCTCCCACCTCAGCCTGCCTCAGGGTTCTGCCCAGCAGAATGATTCTTACCCAGGACACTACCTAAAGCCATAATCTGGATTAGGTCCCACTCCTGGATTCCTTTGGCTTGTGGAAATAATTGGCCACAATGGCCTTGTATCAGGCAAGTGTGACACAGCACCTGGTTCATCATGGGCCAACAGAGAGTATAAGGAAGGAATCTGAGAATGAGCAGACACCCACCCTAGACTATGAGCTCTGTTGCAGACCCTGCTGCCGCCCCTCCAACCGAGGCCCATACTCACGTTGCGGAACTCTCGGAAGGGCACAAACTGCACAATGTCACGGGCTGCCTCCTCGCCCGTGTGTGAGCGCAGTCTACGGTTGTCCCCGTCTAGAAACTCCATGGCTGCAAAGTCAGCATTGCCCACACCCACAATGATAATGGACATGGGCAGCTTGGAGGCCTGCACTACAGCGTGCCGTGTCTCCTCCATGTCACTGATGACCCCGTCAGTGATGATGAGGAGGATGAAGTACTGCTGTAAGGAAGAGTCAACCAGGAGGTGAGTGAGGGTTAGACCCTGACACCCTTCCCCCTCCAAATCCCCAAGGCCTGGAGGAGGCAAACTGCCTGCACCATGCATGGGACACCTTTGACTTCCCGGTTCTGGGTCTGAGCCCTGGGCTCAAGGCTGGCTCTGCCAGTTGCTATGCAGTACATAAGACCACTAAGACTTAATCTGCTGAGCTTCAGTTTCATCATCTCTAAGCTGAGAGTTACTGCTCAGACCTGGCATGTCAGCCGCCTGACAGGCCCAGGCTTGCCCAAGAACACATTCTAGCCTACAGCCTGTGCAGCTGGCCTACCTCCTCCATCTTTGTGGGCAGGAATACTTGTGCCTGTTAGCTCCATACTTAGCACAGAAGGAGACACCTGCACAGGTCATTTGGGCCATCACTTCTGGGGTGTGAATCAGGGTCAAGTCTAGGTTGTAGTGTCAGAATTGGGGAGTCAGGGCTAGGTAGGTGTTCAGTGGTCACCCTGTTCTACCCACGGTACCCAGGAGGCAGCCTTGGTACAGACTGGTATCTTAGGGCTCTGGCTTTCTTAGTCATCAGAAGGTAGGAAGCTCAGGGCTCTGGGCAGCATGGGCTCCAGACAGACTCTACCACTGTACAGTCTGCTCCGTGTCCTGTTACCATGGCAAGTGATACCAAACTTTCATATAGCAAGATGTGTTTATGAATTATTTCAGTCAGAATCCATTGAATAATGGACATGGGTGATCTGAGGATAAAGTGCACACAGGATGACCTGCTATGGAGAAGGTAGATGACATTCAGGAAGTTCACAGGACAGTCCAACAAGAGGGCCTTGAACCTGAGGTGGACTGGTACCTCATTTTCACCTCAGTGCTACCTTGGCCATCTTGTGGTCCTGTTCAGAAGATTCTGGTGTTCTGTCCTATCCATGAGATAAACAGATTATCCTTGTTGGGGACTTCTGTCCTCTAATTGCCAAAAGGGAAAGCCGTGAAGCTAAGAGAGGGTGGAGGTGACCCAGGTGAACATAAAGCCACCTTATCACCTAGCAAAACCGTGCAGCTTGCAGACAATACAAAACCAGCCTCCAGAACACCCGGCTGTCTCTCCTGTCCCAAGGTACAAACTACAGATCAGCGTTGGTGGGCTGCTACAGACACTGGCCCCACCCTTTGCACCCCCACTCTAACACTGTGCCTTTAAGAGACCAGTCCCCTGGCTGGGGATACTTGTTGCTATGGAGATAGTCAGAGCCCAGCAGTAGAGAGCTGCTGCTGCCAGCCCCTATCCCTGGTTTTATCAGTTCATCTAGACCCTTTCTCTGCCATTGCCAATTGTTGTTTCAGGGTCCCTTCTCTAGCCTGCCTTTTATTCACAGTAACCCCACCCATTCACAGGGCAGATCAGGGCAATATTCCTGGGACTTAGGCTGGCAGAATAGAGAGCAGGAAGAGGCCTGACACTGAGGAAAGAAAGGTCTAATCGGCTGCTCAGTCAAAGCACTTGTCTTCAAGCCCCCTTCCAGCTCAGACATGGGTCCCCAACTCCCTGTGTTCTCTGTTATAGAAGGCTGCCTTCCTTCTCAGGGACCTGACTGCAGAAAGGCAGGGCCTGGCTTCAGGTATAGCAGGAAGGACAAAGCGCTCCTGAAAACACAGGACCTTTAGCAGACGATCTATGAGCCCCTGATGGTTCAGAAGGCTTACATGACTTGCTAAGGTCCCGTAACAGGTAACTGGCAGGTTCTAGGTCTGTGCCCAAGTCTCCCTGATTACAAAGTTGGGGCTCTTTCCATGCTTTCCTTCTCCACCAACCACTGCATTGGCAGCTGGTCCCTGGGAGCCTGGCGAGGAAAAGCTCTCTTGTCTACCATTAACCTGGGGTTGGAAAGTCTGAATGACTGGGACAGTAGCCTAGGGCAGAGTCTGGAGCCCTGGCTACAAACTCCTAACTCCTCAGTGCCACAGCCAGCCTGAGCAAAGCCGGGGCCATCATGAAGGGAAGCTTCAAAGATTCACCACTACCCTCAGAAGCCACCAGAGTAAATCAAAAGGGCTGTTGGGGGAGAGAATGGAGCAGGAAGGGTAGAGAGGGACTGTGAAATGCTGGTGTTTTTTTCTGTGCTGGTCCCTCCTGACATCCTTCCTAGACACATCTCAGTGTTGAATCCTCTGCCCCAGGCAAATGTGTGCTCTGCTTTCACTGACTTCCAGTGATCACTCCACAGGAGGTCCCTACACACTCCTTCCTTACACCCTAGGTGCCCTGACAACCCAGCACACACTGCATGCCAGGGGCTCTGAGCCCCATCCAGGCCTCAGAAACAGCCACATCATTAAGTAGCTCAAACCGACTCCCAGCATGAAGAATAGAGCATCTCTTGCAAATTCCAGGCATGCCTCGGGGTGCTAGGACTGCACTGCTGCTTCTCCTACTGCATTAATGACTGGATTTAGAAGAATGGACCTGACTACACAGTTCCAGCCAAGGTCTGGAGAAGCTTCATCCATACCCAGGTAGTTTCTGAAAAACCGGCTGCCAAGGGCCCTGGGATGGGAGTAGGAGACATTCCCAGGGGGCTGGCTGCTACCTGTATTCTACCCTTGACACTGGATGCCTGGGCCACCAACCAGGAATGGGACACACACACACACACACACAAGCCTTACTGACCAAAGCAAAGGCCATTTTCAGATCACTCAAACCTGCTTATTACGCTCTACTGGCTCCCTATTACCCTCAGGAGGAAACCCATAGTGCTTGATGGCTCCCAAGGTCCTGTGAGAAATAGCCAGCCTTCTCAACCTCACCTACCCTGTCAAAGTCTACTTACACATGCCTCTATCAGCTATACCTACACACCAAGAGCCTCAGCCTTTTCACATGCTGTTTCCTTTGCTGGGACACACACACACACACACACACACACACTCCTGCACAAACGCATGTACCCATATGAAGCCAACTCTTAAGAATATCTCAAGTCTAAGCTTGAAGATCCCCTTCTAAGCACAACCTCTCCTGGGTCTGCTGTCAGGTAGGTACCACCTGTGTGGACCTATACTAGAACCATCACAGGCTTAGCTGTATGCACCATTGCAATGGCCTCCCAGCTAACTCCTCACCAGCCTATAAGCTGGACCTGGCTTGTCCAGGTAGCCATGGGGTTGCACAGGAATGCTCAGAAAAGGCACATGAAACAGATGAATGGGGAGAGTGAGGCCTGCTAGAGACACCACCACCTGCTCTCCATTTCCTTTATGTGGGTGTGCCATGTGTGCACATGTGAGGAGACAGGGAGGGTAAAGCCACGTTAGATTCCCCAACACCAAAACATGGCTAGAGAGAAACATCAGTTAACCCACCAGTTACTTCCATTTGCTGTGAGCTTCACTGTGCACAACATTACCGAATGCCAACACCCGGGCAGTGTCCTCAGACATTTCCACGACTGACACAGCTGTGTGCCAGGCTCTAGGCTGAACAACACACATGCCCATTTGGTGGAGGCCCTACAGTTCTTACAGAAGGAAAGCGCTGTTTGTTGTATGGGTGAGAAAACCAAAGCATAGAGTGCTTAAACTGCCTGCCATAGGAACACAACCAGAAAGAGGGGGAGATGGGGCTTGAACTAGGTCCTTTCAGCTTGAGGTTGAGCCACCCCACAGCCCTACTCACCTCCTCTGGTGAAGAGGGTGGAGGGAAGTGGTCAAGAAATCTGTATCTACTCCTGGGCCTCAGAACGGGAGAGGCAGTGGAGAGCCCAGGCCCTGCTCACATGGCTAGAGACGCTTAGGCATCATCTGAAGGGACCAGGCCTTACAGGTAACAGCTTACCCCAGGGAAGCCAGGCGTGGCTTGAAATAAGTAACAAGTGAGACCGAATCAATCGTGGTTGGTTCCAGAGGGGTTGGAATAAGGTGTCTGCATGGGTCTCAAGTTCTTTTGCTCAGAATGAAGGCTTCTCCTCGCTGGTGAAGTGGGGGGGCAGTAGGCAAGACTTCCCTGCAATCCCAGAACCCCTCAGTCACGAAGCCGCTTGTCTCTAAACCCCACCTCCTGCCCAGTTGACCCCTGGCTGGGTACAGCAGGAGGCAGGGGCCTGGCACACTGCTGGAATGTGCTCATGTTCCCTGCCCAGATGGTCTCTCCTGAAGAGGAAATCAGGCCTGTTTTCATGCCTTTAGAAAGCTCATGCGGCCAACAACCTTGTTGGCACCGAGCTTGGCACCCCTCACGGGAGTGTAATGAAGTTGAAGGCTGTCCCTTACTCTGCCCTATCCAAGATATTTTATCTCAGCAACCCCAGGGAGTGAAGAACCACAAAACTGCCCGGCCTTACTGCCAATTCAGATAATCCCATTTTACATCACCACTGGGGGTCAGCACTCCCAATGCATCAGAGAAAATGGGCCTTAAAGAAAAGCCGGGACTGCGTTCCCAGCTACCACAGTCAGGGGACTAAAGCTGAGACTCATCCAGTGCAGGGCACAGGTCCCTAGCCCCTTCTTGGCTATCCCTACCTCGGTATTTTATGTGCACTATTCCTGCTTTCCTGAGACAAGGTCCCTGCACCCCACTGTCTGTCCTTCAAGGCCTTTTAGAGTGGGGGTACTACAGGATTATCAAATGTTTACCTCCCAGGCAGTCTGGCATGTTCTCCCATGACACAAACTGGACACTGATCTGCTCTAAGTGCACATAAATAGGGGTAGAGCACATGACTGGGTTGAGCCCCAGCCCCAGCCCTATGTCCTCTTCTTTTCTCAGTCCCTGCCCCTCCTTTTCTCTTTACTGCTGCTTCAGGGAAGTCAACCTCTGCTTCTCCAGTGACTCTCCTCCTGAACAGTCCTGCAGTGGTCTCCTATTCATGATATAGAGCCTTCCCTTTGGGATAGGTTACTACATGACCTCACTCACCTAATCCTATGGAACACTGTCACCCACCAGGCACCCACCAGGCTTGAGGGTCTTTAGTGAGGTGGGTACAGGGTGCCCTGTCCCATGTGGCTGAATCCACAGCCAACAGGTGCAGAACCTATAGCCATGAGGCTGCTAAGTTGCAACAGAGGCAAGAAGGGCATGGACGATGTAGGACCACACAGAGATGGCCTTGCAGGGCCAGTGAGTCACCATGCAGTGGGGAAAAGCTCAGTTGGAATACCTGGCACCTGACTCTGATGAAAAGACGGGATGACCAGCACTGTAGATACCAAGGCTGGTCGCCTTACATATCATAGGCACACATCCCACACTACACGCAGCCTTGCTACTGAGCAAGACATACATACATACATACACACTGAGCAAGACATACATGCATACATGTCTGTAGCCTTCCCTGTTAAGGCTTTGGACCAGTGTTCCAAAGGCCAGCTCCTAATCCACAGGCATCAGGTAGAGGCCAGCCCCTCCCCATGAGACTTCTGGGTCTCAAGTCTCACTTCCTACAATGCACCAATGACACTGCTTTCCTGAGTAGGGCTCCAGGAAGCAAGGCTCATCAAACTGGACTTCCCCAGCCTCCTCAGAGCCAGATGGACAACAGCCTGGAGAAACCCTGCATCTTACCGGGATGAGATATCTCCCTCTCTAAGCCTCATACCAGTAGGAAGATGAGAGCAACCACCCAATCTGATTCTCCTCCTTGGGCAGCCTCATCTCTGGATACACACACACCCCCACTGCTTACCGTTGCTGTCTGCTGCTGTGTGGCCTGGGCTGCGAACCTGGCCACATGGTTGACAATAGGGGAGAAGTTTGTGGGACCGTAGAAGCGGATGTGGGGCAGGCAGGCTGAGTATGCCTGGGCAATGCCATCCACACCTGCAAAAGAAGACCTGGATCAGCCCAGCACCTCTATACCCCTACAACCACCACCACCACCACCACCTTATCCAGCTGCTGACATCTACTGCATGCTCCCCAGAACGTCACCACCATTGCCAGCATAGCCTTGAAACAGAAAGCTATCAAGGGCAGGTCTAAGGGAGTAGCCGAGAACCTGACTGTGAATCAGATAGGCCTGAGTTTGGGCCCTTCCTTGCTGCTTCTGACTGTGGGTTGGAGTGAGCTGTTTAAGCTTTCTGAGCCTTTCCTAGGAGGTGAATGACAAAGAAGGGGGCTGACAAAGGGGTGACACAGGGAGTTATCTGGAGGTCCATTTCTGAACACTCTTGGCTGCTCTAGTGGGGATGGGGTTTCATTGCTCCTTACACAACAGGTGCTCTGCAAATAGCTGCTATCACGACCAGCCAATACTCCACAACTCTCTGTTCTTGGCCCGAAGGCCTCTGGCCAAGGGCTGACATGGACCAACCTGAATTTAGACATGTCTTTAAGAACCTGTACCACACCAGAGCCCAGGAAGCACAGGACCTCATTTACGGCCAAGGGACACCCTCTATTTCCAAATCATGACTACATCCTGGCCCAGCCTCGGGATCCCCCAAAAGGGAGTAGACATCCTTTTCATTCTTTCTAGTATCATCTTTCTCCTTGTCTCAGTTTCTGAACTGTCTTGAGGTACTGTGCAGAAGGGGCAGATCTTTCACTCACATCACCCTACCTGCCAAGCCACTGTCCATCTTTGGCCATCAAGGAGACTCTTCCAGCAGAAAGGGGCAAGAGGGAGACGAGAGCAGGCATGCGATGCTGCCTTTCTGGACTGCATGGCACTCTGCCAAACTGTCCCCCTAATTCTCATCTATATCCCCATTTACCCAGGGAAATGAGTTAAACAGGTCATTTTCTGCTGTCCTTGGGGTACCCTGCCTGTCCTTGGGGAAGGTAAGGGCTGGTAATGTCCCAAAGAGGTGCAGTAACTCTTCACAGCCAGGAACAGGCAGCAGTTTTCCTTGAACCCAGGACTGTATGACTCCACACTCCACTATTCTCATCCATCACTCTGAGTATGACAGGGATGGGACAGGAAGGACAGAAGCCCTGTCCCCTCCCACTGCTTGCTTCTTCTGTATGCAGGGTCCACACTCACCTGAGCAGAAAGGGTTGGTGGGATTGAAGTTGATGGCAAACTCATGGGACACCTAAAAAGCAGAAGACACGCTGAGAGGCAGCCTCCTGCCCCATACCTAGACCACCCGCCTCTGAGGATTCACTCTCCCACCCTGCCACCTACACGTTATTAATCCCACATCTTCCTCCCTCACTTCATAATAGGGAAACTGGACATTATATGCCTCTGGGTGGATGGGGGTAGAGGTGGGTTCTGTGTTCCTCCCTTGCTAAGAGACCTCCTGAATGGGACAGAGATGGCCCCAAAGGCAGTGGGGCCCTGGACCACTAGGAATGCCCCTGTTCCCTCTCTCCATTTGGGGAGCCACTTATGTGGGCCTTGAAGACTTTTTCCCATCTTAGCACCAGGCAGGGGTGCTGAACAGAAGTCAACCTCACAGCATGCAGCTATCCGGATTGGCTGACCACCGCCCACAGCTGAACTAAGGACCACACCATACAGTGGGGCTGAGAGGGTCACATGTGCGCTGTGCAGATCCCCAAGGTCTGTTCCTGCATGTGTGTCGTGAGTCCTGGTTCTCAGTCTGGGGCTGGAGAGAGGGCTCAGTGGTAAGGAGCACACGCTGCTCTTACAAAGGACCTCAGTTCAGTTCCCAGCATCTACATCTGACGGCTCACACCACTTGTAACTCCAGCTGCAGATGAACTAACGATGCTGGCCTCTTCGAGGACTTAGTCACATGTACAAACTCCCCTCTGACACACAAGTGTGTGCACCCACACATGTGCACACAAGCACCCTTAAAAATAAAGTAAGCCTTAAAAAAAACAAAAAAACAGTTGCTGAGCCACTAGGTTGGGTCCCAGATCCACTCTGTCACAAACAAGAACTTCACACCAACTATATGCCAAACACTAGCATAGCAGGAGAGAACCAAGCGCCTCCACACAGAGAACACAACTAAGTCACTGGGCGCTGTAAGAACAGTGCCAGGGCAGACAGCCAACAAACCAGGGGGAGGAGCCAACTAGCTGGGTGATGGGCACATGCAAAGGCCCTGAGGTGGAAAGGAAGAGAGGAAGGCAGGCTCACAGGACAGGGGTGAGGTGGCAGAATGACGGAATGAAGGGCCAGGAGGGCCAGGCCCGGCATCTTCTGGCAGTGCAGGAGCAGGGACAGAACATCTGTGCTCTCCTAGCCTCATTATAGCGTGCTGCTTCAGCACCACTGGGTGCTTAGCCTGGCCAAGCCCTGGCAGGCACCCCCAGAGTTGCCCTGTGACATTTCCAAGGCTTTTGCTCAAGAAAACATCTCATTCAGTGGAGTTCTTTGGAAGCTGGCTGGTGTCCTAGCAACAAGCTCTTGCTGGGGCCTGGCCACTGGCTCACCCTACCTGCCTCCCCTCCCCCCTGGCATCTATGCTTGCCCGGAGGCTCAGCCTGGGTCCCACAGAGTCCTGCCTCACACTGTGCAGGGTGAAGATGTCCACTGTGCCTGTGTCAGACCCAGAGCCATTCTGATGCTCCAGAAGGGCTGAGAGGAGAGGCCATACTAATTCCAGAAGTGTACTGCACAGCCTGGTACACGAGAGGGGGAACCGGCTGAGCTGGGCATGCCATCCCCACTGGCTCCTCCTCTAGGAAGCAACAGGTTTGGACATGATCCTAGAGTCTATCTGCCCTCCTGGAGCCCAGGCCCCTGGGGTGAGGGTGACCTTGGGTAAGCCACATTAAAGCTCTGAGCCTTGGCTGTTCAGGCTGTAAAATGGAATAGAGTTCTATGGATCTGGTTGCAGGAGCTCTCCAGCTCTGTGGCCCGTGTTCTTGGTGATGTCTCAAGTGGGGCACCTAGAGCTTCCTCCTGCCATAGGTGAGGTCCTTACCTGCCCTCCACCATGGCCACCCCATGGGCATCTTAGGGTGCCCTGTCTCCTTCCCCGCTTCTGAAACCTGCCTGCTCTGGCCCTCCTCCCTTCCCAGTATTTTGTCTCTAACCCCATGTCCCACCAGGGTTGCATGCAAAGCAACCCTGCGAGCAAGCACTGCCTCTTGCCCTTTTGCCTTTCCCGATTTCCATGCTGTGGCTTCTCTCTGATCCATTCTCCTGCCCCCTGGCTCAGCCTTGCATCCCTGGCCAGCTCTGTGTGCCTTGCCTCTCCATCTCACCCAGAGTTGGATAGTGGCCCTGAGATCCAGACCATCCTCTGCTTGTCTCCTGGACTCACTCACAGAGGTATAGGACACACAAGTGCAGTCTGGGATGAGTGCAGAGCAGACAGAAACCCAGAGCTCCCCCACCCCTGATTCTGTGTCAGGCCCAATTCCACCTCAACCAAAGAAGGCAGGGTCTGTTTCTGTTACACTCACCTTCCAGTCTGGTGGTAACTGGGCCCCAAACCCCAGAGCAGGAAACATCTTATCACTGGCCAGACAGAGAGAACACGAAATATTTGAGTACACAGCCCCATATACACACCGGCTGCACCACACTCTTCCCTCCTGGTCTGCCGGTGTGTAACCCCGGGGACAGAGAGCAGAGAGTTATTCTCCACTAAGCCCAAGTCTAAGCCCACTTCTGGGTGGCATTGACCAGGGCTTGACACATTTGATTTTTGTTGTTGTTTGTTTTTTTGTTTTGTTTTGTTTTTAAAGACAGGGTTTCTCTGTATAGCCTTGGCTGTCCTGGACTCACTTTGTAGACCAGGCTGGCCTGGAACTGACAGAGATCCGCATGCCTCTGCCTCCCTGAGTGCTGGGATTACAGGCGTGCGCCACCGTGTGAGCTCCGGCTTGACACATTTTTATCCAGGGCAGACACTTGCTTGATTTTGATCAGTGGGCCTGGGAGCACTCTAAAGATCAGTGGTTTGTCAAAGGTGGTGGCCCCTTTGACAAACCTCTGTCTCCAAAAATATTAACATTATGATTCATAACAGTAGCAACATTGCAACTGTGAAGTAGCAACAAAAGTAATTTTCTGGTTGAGAGTCACCTCGACGTGAGGCGCTGTATTAAAGGGTCACAGCATTAAGGTTGGGAACCGCTGCCTTATATCCTTCTCAAACCAAGACCCCATTAAGGCCAGATCACAGTGGAAGCGAATGGACTGGTTCCAAGCTCCCAACTTCCTGTTTATAGCTGGGGAAGAACACTCCTAAAATGATCATCATGACCTCCCTTCATCATCCACCCCAGAGCCTAGTTTCATTTTCTTTTTCCTATTCCTCATATCTATCCCCAGCCTTGGCCTCTCACAATTCCTCAAATGTACAGGGCCCCTTATCTCAGCTTCAGCCATTACACTCCATTTGAAACAGGCCTCCCCAAATCCGTTTTCCCTAACAAACTTCCACGCATCCTTCAAGGCCCAACCAAAATGGGTACTTCTCTCTATGGGCCACTGATGGGTCCCTAAGACCCCACAATGCCTCTCTTTAGTGCTCCCTTGACTTCTGCCTTACACGTAGACAGAGGTCTCTGCCGAATCCCAAAGATTTGTGCTAATGAGAGCTTCCTAAAGGCAAGCACAATGTCTTATTTAACTCATGCAACATTTCTATCAAAGACACTCTGGCTACTGTGGAAGGTGAACTGCCAGGGTCCAGGATAGAGCAGGGAGATGCGCAGGAGGCAGTGGCTCCAGCTTGGTGTCCTGAGCTCACTGGGGTTTTGCTGAGTCTGAGTGCCAATGAAGGGGTTAGGGTGACCCAGTGGATATCATGGTCTCCTGCCTCACATGAAGCCTTCCTTGCGCTGTATGTTGTTTATGTATTTTACTGAGCCCTGAAAGCATGGCCATCCTTTAGGCCCTGGTCCCCTGAAATGGGGTCATTCGGGCCCTAGTCCTCATCTGTGTACATTTAGATACATTCTTAAAACAAAAACAGAGTCTCACTATGTAGCGCTGGCTGGCCTAAAACTCACATAGATCTGTCTGTCTCTGCCTCCAGAGCACTGAGTGCTGGTCAGACACATTATTAAGTCCCACCCCGGCCTGTGTCCCCAGCTGTGAAAGCAGAGGCTGCATTCTAACCGCTAAGTTCGTCTTCCATCCTAATGCACTTTCTTACTGGATGATTGGTACACCGCACGTAGAAAGATCCTAGTTTGAATCCTAGCTTAGTCGGTAAGAGTACGGTAATAGGTTGGCAGTGTCTGCCATGGGGAATGGAGGGGCAATGACTGTGTGTATGCCACTTGCTCTCCATTCCTGGGTTTGCAGATCCTTGGGACCCTTCTGGCTCCGACAAGCTGAGCTTCCTTTCTGAAGAGACACCAGCTGACCTTCAGAGTCATCCCCAAGTATACCTGTCATAGTCCTGAATGATCTGTCCCACTGCCCAGATGGCTGACAAGTATTCGTTGGTGCCCATGGGATTGATATAGTGTAGAGAAGAAGGGTCGAGGGGATTCCCGTTGGAGGCTGTGAAGTCTATTCCAACCTGCAGAAGGAGAAAAGGGGCAGTGTGGCCGCCAACCCCAGCACAGCCTCAGGGGATAGGAGGACCTAGTGGGCACAGGACATCTACTCATTTCCCAGAGCCGGTAGTCGAGATAATGGCTGGAACAAAATATAGAGTGTCTAAACTCATGGCACCTCAGTCTAGGGGAGGGATAAAAGGCAGGTGAGTGGAAAATTCCTAAGATGCTTCCAGACAAGACAATGAAAGCCAGATGTGTCAGCAGACAGAAAGGACCAGGGGAGGGTCCGAGAAGATGGCAGAGGGAACAGTGCGAGGTAAAGAACTGATGGCAGGGACAGGGACAGAGGTGGGCAGAGAAATGCCAGGGACAGAGGCATGACCGAAGTAAACGGAAGAGAAGGGAGGGAGAACAACTGGATAGTGGAACTCTTCTGGCCAGCAGGAGGAACTAGAGGGGTTTGGTGAGCATTGTGGGAGGCCCTATGTAGCGCTGCTCTGCTCCTAGCCAAGCCTGACTCAGCTCCCCACCAGGATAAACTCCTTATGCTCTCTGAGGCCAGTTGCATCCCTTGACCCAAGCATGTCCTTGCTAGAGTTTATCTGCTGTGGCAGAGGCCTGAGTCCTAGGGAAAGACCACGGATGGGGTTGGTGATGGGGAGGGGCCTTACAGTGAACATGAGCTGGCAGCCTCCAAGGATGTAGTCCAGGAACGAGTAGTTTCGGTGTATCTGGAAGAATTGGTGAGTCAGTGGGTCCTGATTTTGACTCTGAATGTCCCTGTAGGAGTTGGTGCTTGTATCTCAGAGCCTCAAGAGGAGGCCAAAGGCTGGGTCTGATCTTACCACAACAGACTCCAAAGTACCTTAGAACACAAGGACCACTCGAGGCAGGGACTGGTTTCCCAGACCAGTCACACCTGCCTATCAGTCATCTGACAGAGAAGGTCTCCATTCACCCTCGCTGCCTCCCTTGCTAACACACACAGGGTGCAGATGCCCATCCCTAGTCTCCAGAGCAAAGCTGAGGGATACCATGCCTGCTGTCAAGGCCTATGCCTGCTATCAAGGCCTTTGCCTCCTCTCAGCAAAAGCACGTTGGCCTTCCCATGTCAGTGGCATCAGGGATCTCTCCCAGATAAATGTAATTAAGCAAATTTTTAAAGAGGCATCCCTCTCCTATGCCTGTCATGTCTGTGCTTGAGAAGGTGACAAATTCGTGGCCAGCCTGAACTGCACAGGCAGACCATCTTAAAATTGTGCTGGACTGAGCAGGGCAGTGTCGGTGGACACCTTTAATCCCAGCATTTAGGAGGCAGAGGCAGGCATATCTCTGAGTTCAAGGCCAACCTAATTTACAAAGTGAGTTCCAGGACAGCCAGGGATACACAGATAAACTGTCTTGGAAAAAAAATAAAAATAAAATCAAACCAGACAGGAAAAAAACAGCCAGGCAGGTACCAAAAGTTGTGAGTAGCAGGTGTTTCAGAAATGGATCCAAAATCATGCTTGACATTTGCAGAGCTCTGTCTGTGGCACTGCCACTGAAGGTCTATGTGACCCTGTTACGATGCTGGAGGCCTCAGCAGGCAACCAAGCCATAACTTCCTGCTCCTCAGGCTGAGCTGGGTGCACTTGACCACTCAGGCTGCCTTCTTTACTTTCCCACCTGCCAATGTGGTCTGGCCACAGTGCTCTGAGTCTTGGTGGCCTCATTTCTACCAGAGAAACCATAGCTACCTGGGTCCTCACTGATGCTAGGATGCTTGGACCCCCAGGCTCTACCCCATGTGCTGAGTGTACAGAGTAAGCCTCTGGGCTAGACAGAAGTGATTCCCTATCGTCCCCTACCCAGAAAATCACCCTGGAAATCATCTCACATCCTTGTGGCTCTGTATAGAGACAGGATAGGAGGAAAAGCTGTCGCACACTCTACCTTTTTGACACACCCACTCTGCAGACAAGGAGAAGAGGCCTCTGTGCAGCGCATGGGAGCACCCTCAGCTCACCTTGCATGATCTCAGGATGATGATGCCCGAGTTCTTGTAGCCCTTCTTCTTTCTCTGCTTCTTGGGGTTGATGCACTCCATCTCTAGCTGGCACCACGGGAAGGGAGCCATGTTCATCTGGGGTGTCTCAAGACCTCCCAGGCCCCAGAATTCCCTCCACAACCTAGACCCAGGGCTAAATGACTACTCCAGAGAGGTTCCCTGGATACCCACCTCCCAGACCACATTCTAGTTGTCCACCTCTCACTTATCCATACCCCCAACCTCTACCCCACAAACAGGGAGAAACCGAGGCTCATAGAGACTGTCTTGCTCAAGGTCATGTAGGAAAGAGAGGTGTGGCTGAGTGTCTTCTTGGTTCAAAGTCCTGGGTTTCTTTGTAGTCACTGCTGAAACCCAGGGGTGCCAGCGCACATGCCCTTCTTACCGGGACGCCATCCCGAGCCTCACTCATCTGCAACACAGAGGTCTGGAACTCGCCAATGAAGTCATGGCCTCCATTGCTGTCATAGTCGTAGCACATGACCTGGGACAGGTCACCATGGTCAACCCAGAGTGGTCCCCAGGGGTACTCTCAGCCTGTTAGCCCCTGAGTGCACAGTATGGCTATTGTGTGGGCATTGCTTCCCATAGTATGACCTGTCTAGCCTTGGGGCTCCTGAGCTGCCTTCTGTAGGAAGCCTTCCATGATTGCTGGGAAAGCAGGCTGAAGCCACCCAAGGATGGAGGCTGTGCTGGTTACTACCCACCAGACATCTATCTGTTCCTCCTCTGGCCAGGCTGGGATCCTCTGTAATCCTACCCAGGAACTCTGCAGTTCTTGGAGGGAGTGGGTGGTACTGCAGCAGAACTCTTGGGGGGTGGGGATCCTGCCCATGTCCTGAGGGCCAGGCAGATCTAGGCCTCCATCCCAGGACTCCCGCCTTCTTCTTACCAGATGGGGCTCTTCCCATTAATAAGAGGAGTTTCAAATGAGTATACCAGAAGCCTGGTTGGGGTAGGCTAGGAGGTGGGGCTGGGAGGGTAGAGACATGGGCCCAGAGTCACTAACCTGGATGGGCTTCTCCAGGTCCCCATCACACAAGGACACCAATGGCACAGTGAACGGTTTCCACACAGGGTCCAGAGTGTACTTAATCACCTGGGGGACAGGAAGGACAGAGTATTCTCACACTCATGAGAGAAAGCTATGAAGAGATGGGCAAACCCATAGCCATGCTTCCAGCTTTGGGCATGGCTGGGGCCACACAGGCCACCCCCTACCATCAGCTTAGTTGACCCAAGGCCCCTCTTACCTACCTCAGTCCTATGGACTAGCATCCATTTACCATCATCCCCTGGCTTGTAAAACTCGAGAAATGGGTCTGACTTCCCGAAGAGGTCCTGGCGGAGGTGGGGAGGGGAGGCAGGATATGTGTGAGAGGGCATGGCCTTACCAGATTCAGGGGGGCTGGAATGCACCCCAGCCACCTCCCTGATTCATAGTTGCTGGCAGCTATGGTGCAACCAGGCTGTCCCTTCTCTTCCCCCACAAGGTTCAGCCACAGGCCTGGAGCTACCCCTGAGAAATGAGAAACCCCCACAGGGAGGCAAGGTCTCTGCACTCTAGAGACTGAGCCTTGGATGCAGAAGGTGCAGCTACAGCCGCAGCAGCAGGCTCTAAGAATGCCATGACTTTCATAAGGCCAGGACCATGAAACCTAAAACTACAGTACAGGCATGGCTCAGCAGGTGACAGCACTCTCCATCAAGCCCGATGACTTGAATCCACCCGCCCTCCAGAAACCACATGGTGGAAGAAAGAGAGCTGACTGCATAAGCTGTTCTCTGACTCTGTGTCCCACAGTTGTTTCGGACCCCTCCAAACGTAATAAATCTATGATGCTTGTCACCAAACGGCACGATGGCCTCTGGAAATTCACTTATGTTAAGTTAAAAAAAAAAAAAAGGCACCCTAAAGAAGTTGCACAGAAGTGAAGGGTACAGAGTGAATCAAGTAAGAATGCACAGTACAACAGTGTGGGTGACGAGAGGCAACTGAAAGACCACTGTCACTTGTGTCTCCCTCCAGGAGCACTCAAGGAGGAGTTGTAGAAGGACAGTTAGAAAGTGGGAAGGGCACCATGACAGTGTTCACAGAACAGGGTCCCAGGTAGAGGAAAGAGAATGCAATGGGCCTGAGACAGGATGCCTGGTTGCTGTGGCTCCATGGCAGAGCCTGGGCCTTGAAAATTAATAAAGCTGAGGAGAGGGAAGAGGGTCTGGTCTAACTGGGTGATCAAAGCAAAGGAAGGGGAAGGGCAGGAGTCAGGACCCTGGAGGATCATGACAGAGCCCTGTGGAGGGAGTGTGAGAAGTGGGGCCATAACAAGAGGAATTCTAGTCACAATCGGCCTCCTTTGAAGTGGCAGGGCTCTCTCCCACAGTGGGAGAAGGCCTGACTTGAGTGGTTCCATGTTTAGCCTGTCCCTCGAGGGAAATGAAAATGTGGTAGTCAAAGAAGGCTGGCTCCAGCGCCCAGGGCTGGAGAAGACTTTGCTGTTGTTGATGGAAACCCTCCCTGACTGACTTACCTTCTTGTCCAGCTTCCTGCCAGCCAGGCTCAGCGTGATGACACGGTTGTCTGAGAGCTCCTGGGCTGCGATCTGAAAGGTTGAAGCTGTGAGGGGAGGGGGACCTGCTCCTTCCCTACCCCACCCTGCCTGGACCCAACTCTCCAGGGTTAGGTTCAGGGAAAAGACAGAGTGAGTGTCAGGTGACCCTTGACTTCTAAACCTTGGTTTCCATTTTCTGGGAAATAGGATAATTATCAGACTGGTCATGGGGACTCAGAAAGTGAGTCCTGTGGCTCAGGAGAAGGTATGTAGGACATGGGGAGATAATAAGAGGACTATGGGGGTGCTGGTTATGAGCCACAGGGAGAGAAGTTCTGTACCAGGGAGCATATGCTTCTTCAAGCTCTCTCCCCAACCTGAGAGCTCTTAACTGCCAAGAAGCCAGAGACACACAGCCGAGTAAACTGAGGCTCAGGGAAGGATGGAGGACCCAAGCTAGTCATCTACTCTGGCCTTCCCCATAGCCATGGCCCTCAGACCTCAACACAACTGCCAAAAGCCCACTATGGCCTCTCCCCACAGACAGACTCCCTGCCTCTAAGATGGGCTTATCTAAGGATGGTCTTCCTTGAAACTGGCCATCCCTCTAGCCCCTGTACCACAGCCCAAGGCCCTGGGGCCCTTTCTCCCTGCCTGCTCTTCACCTACACTATAGGATGGTATCTACTGTCCCATCTCCAAGAGGAAGGAACCAGGGCCTAGAGTGGAGCTACTGGCATCCCAGACAAGAGTGGAGTCTTCCGCTGGCATCTGACCTCAAGGAGGCTGCCCTGAGATCTGCCTGTGAACTCAGAGGGAGGCTGCTGGGAGGAGCCTTCCCAGCTGCAGCAACAGCCTGGGTGGAAACCATCTTGGGGTCTTTGAGGCATGCTATAGGTTTGGTTTGCTCTAAACTTGGGGCACAACGTGAAAGGGTAGAACTACAGAGGCAGGGAAGCAAAGCAGGGACTGATAGTCCTCAGAGCTTGAAGGGAAGACTGCACAGGAAGTAGGGAGCCCTGGGTGTGAGGGGGAGGCCCTCCAAGAGCACAAAGAAGCATGAGCTGCCTTCAGCAGCACATCACAGTCTGTATGCGGAGTCTTGCTAGAGGAATGCTCTTGCTCCTCTCGGGCCTCATTTCTCTCATGAGATGGGGTTCGCCCCTAAGGACCAAGGAGCCCAACCACAGGAAGAACCTGCACTTTGCTGGAATCACTGCAAGGTGCAGGGGGAACCATTGCAGTCACTGGAATCATTCTGCTGAGACAGAATGCATGCATCCATCAGGCGTTTATGAAATGCTCTCCAGGGGTGTGAGGGGGGGGAAACTGAAGGGACTAGTATTGGTGGGGGATGCTGTGAGGGCTCTGGACACCCCTCCCCACAATAATAAGGAGGTCCCTGGCCCTGAGCCGCATCGCACTGTGTAGTGCCTTCTGACAGTCCCCCAGCCAGGCAGCCCCCAGCGCATCATCTGCAGAGCCAGGAGCCCGTTGCTAAGAGACCTGTTGCTAAGTTGTAAGTTGGGCCTTTTTACTCCCAACAAAGCTGGTGATTATCTGCTGGAGAAACAGTCCATTGATGGGGGAGGGTGGTGGAGACAGAGAAGGGATGCGGAGGGCAGGGAGGGGGCTGGTACCGTGATTAAGCCCTTCCCTGCAGGCTTGTCATTCATCAGCAGCAGAGGCCTAGTGATCTTCTTGCTGGAGACAATCTGGAGTGGGAGAGACAGACGGGAGAGCTCAGGGAGGCAGCAGGGGCTCTCAGGGACAGGTCAACAACAGGACTGTAGTGACAGCACCATGTATCACGCTGTCCCCACTTCTCTGCGTTAACAAGTGGCTGGCTGGCACCGGGTTTGGTTGCTCCTTAAGGGGGAGCTTTCTGCCTGGTCCCAAACCCAGGGGCCTGCTGGCTCCTGGGGTGTCTGTGTGGCAGATAAGGAATCCAGGAGGATAAGCTAGGGAAAGTAGGGGGTGGGAAATCCTGTCTGTCTGACCCCAAGAGCAGAGGTTGACTCTGAGGCCCGCGTGTACCCCACTCCACTCGGGAGCCCCAGGCTCACCGTGCCAAGGCTGCAGAAGAACTGACCCAGGAAGTCATGCTCATCCAACTGTGCACTGGATTTGTCCTGATCAAACAGGGCGAACTTGAGCTTCTGCACCTCCTCGAAGTGGTAGTCCAGCACGAACTTCTTGGAGAAGGCTGGGTTGAGGTTGTTGACGGCTGTTTCTGTCCTGTCGTACTGGCGGAGGGACACAGTAATGGGAGGCAGAGTCACAGTGGCCGGGTTCCCTCTCTACCTAGCTGCTGGCAGTCTTTCTACCACTTCACTATCTCAGTGCACTTCCCGCCAGTATTCAACGACTCATGGGCCCCAGCTCGCAGGAGGACACTGCAGCTCAGACGTCAAGTCAAAGGGAGGCAGGTGCAAGATTCGAGCCCAGTCCTGACTCCAGAAACCTCACTCTTAACTCTACAAGCCCTCTCCATTCCCAGGGAACAGGATAAGAGCTCAAGCCACAGCCTGGACTGGGTAAGTGACAGAAGACAAACCCCTCTCCCCATCTGGGCCTGCTTCTACCTCTGTCAGATGAAGGCCATGGATTATGTGGGGTTTTTTGTTTGTTTGTTTGTTTTTGTTTTTTTCACTCTGGGAAAATCCTTTTCTCAAAACCACACTGTATTCGCCTCTAAGAGAGAAAATAGAGAGGAGGTAGGCCAAAGAGTGGGGTGGGGTCCAAGGCTTGGGTGGTGGTTTTTGTGTCTTTATAGAATTCTGGATTTGTCCAGTCTAGCATGCCCACTTGCTTTGGACACCAAAGCCTGGGTGGGGACAGGGCTGGGCAATGTGGGTGCATGGTAGTATAGGCAGGAATCACCTCTCGGCCTCAGAACACACACAGCAGAGCCTGAATGACAATCTATTTTGAGACCTGGGCTGTGTTGGTTTTTCCTTCCACCCGGGGTTCCAAAGGCAGGAGCAGCAGGATTGGACGAGGCCTTGGCCTGGGCTATTTTTAGTCTGTGTGCACAATCTGGGGGTAGCAGAGATTCGGGGGAGAGGTGTCATAAGTTTTGAGGAGACACCATTCCCTAAGGAGCATGGTCCCGGAGACAGCACAGAGGGGATCAGTAACTGCAGGCCTGGACTGTCCCTGGACCCCTGAGCTGACCTAGCGCCACATTTCCCTCTGTTGGCTATGCCACCAACACACCGGGTGATATAGAAACCTTACCTACTCCAGGCTCCACTTTCCCCTCTGTAAATTGGTCAACAATCCCAGCTCGTTTGAAAGACTTTTTTTTTTTTTTTTTTAATCACAAGATCCAAACATCTGTGAAAATGCCTGTAAACTGGAATGTGTTCAGTGAGTGCCTACCACTGTCTGGCTCAATACTTATTGAAAAACAGGAACTCAGTGTAGTTGCACATCTGCCATGCCAGCGTTGAGCTGGAAGAGGGAGGACCAGGAATTCTAGGTTATCTTCCCATACATAAAACAAGACCACTAATACACGTGCGTGGAGAATGATCTGAGACACTGAGCTGTGAACAGGGATTTTCCTCAGTAGGCAGGTCTACAGCCCATAGGTTGTCTTCCTCAAGTTAGTCTGAATTTGATAACAACAAACATAGCTTCCTTTGTGACAAGTTTTGAAGGCTGCTAACAGGAGCAGTTCGAGTTTCTTGGAAACCTTCCTAAACCACAGCCCTTCCCAACCTCAGGCCAGTCTTCTAGCTCAGAAGTCCTAAAGTTATTCTGTGTCTGTGAGAGAAAAATAAAAGCCCTAATTTACTAAGGAGACGGGCCCAGAAGGGGACAGTAGTTCACCTGAGGTCACACAGCAAGGGGTGGCATTTCTGGGCATGAGTCCATTTCTGGGACCCAAGACCTAGCAACTTACTTCTCTTTGCTTCTGGCCACCAGGATGATCGTTAGGAACAAAGCAGGAAGGTTACTTACAGGAAGCAAGTCTGTGCAAAACTATAGAAGCTTTGCCTAACTACAAGTCATATAAACTATTAGGATATAATAAATATGATAATTATATATTTGTGAGTAATAATTTAGAGAGAAATAAAGCTATATATCTATATATACTTTTTTTTTTTAAGACAGGGTCTCATTATGTATCCTTGACTGGCCTGGAATTCACAGAGATCCACCTGTCTCTGCTTGTACTGGTTTTAAAGGTGTGCCCCCACACCCAACTGGAAATATATTTTAAGGTAATTATTTTATTTCCATCTGTGTTATTTAAATTTTTCTTTTTTTGGTGGTGGCTGGGGGGACATGGGCTTATTATGTAACCCTGGCTGATCAGGAACTTGTGATCCTCCTGCCTCAATGTTGAAATTACAGGAGTGCACCACCACACCTGGTAAGTAATAATACACTTAGATTGCTAAAAGGTGACAGCTTTCTAGGCCATCTTCCAAGACCAGCCCTCATCCCAACGAGGCGACCCTGGCATTCCCTGGATCCAGGAGGAGACCCTCTGCAGCCCAGCCAGTCCTTGCCCCTCAGACACTTGTGGCTGGCCTCACCTCCATCCACCTGCCGTTGTCCTCTGTAAAGAGGACACAGAAGGGGTCAGACTTGGAGGTGACGTCCCGATCCAGCAGGTTCTGGCCACTCACTGACAGCTCCACTTTGCACACACAGCACTGAGAGCCCAAGGGGATGGCCCCTGCGGCGGGGGCCCCCCCACCCGGAATGTAGGCCATGGGAGTTGGTGGCGGCAGCAGCAATAGTTCCTGGCAGTCTGAAGAACAGGAATGAGTGTCAGGAGGGGACAGATACTTTTCGCAAGCTAACTCATCACAGGGAGGCCTCACCACTTGACTTTCAATACCTGGGTATAGTCAGGGTACACTGGTACAAGCCTGTAATCCCAGTATGAAGGAGGCTGAGGCAGAAGGCTCTTGAGGTTGTGGCTAACCTGGATTAGGCAAGATTCCATTTCAAAATAAAACAAAGAAGTAGGTTGTGAAATGGCAGACGGTGTGTGTGAGAGAGCCATAGGCAAAGGCTTGTCGGAGGGAGAAGACAAGAAACTTGGAGGGAATGAGGAGTCTCTGAGAGGTATATGGTTTGCCTTGGTGCCTTTTCTCAGCCTTCTGTCTTTACCCATGAGCTATACACAGGCCCTTGTGTTGCCCATGTAAAGATCACAGGGCAGCATAGGACATGGGTTTCCTACATGCACTGTGCCAGAAAACCAGGGTTTCTCCTGAGCAATGCCCGGGTTAGCATCTGTGGTAAGTTTGATGGTTTCAGGTTTCCTTGTTGCTTTGACCATGAAGGAAGTAAACTTCTGGTAACTTATTCAAAACTGGGCCTTGTTCACTGCCTCATATGGTCCTCCTACATCTCTATGCCAAGCCCATGAGGCTTCAGAGCGTATGTGAAGTGTATGTGCACTAATAAATGAACAAATATGCCCTGCCCAACTTGATCCTGGTCTTCAGCACACAACTGATCCTCCCAGGCATCCTTGACTTCTTCAAGCCCTGCTCAGGACCAGTGCACCTCTCCTACTGAGGCTGGGCACTGACACTGCTAATGGTCAGTGGCTCTGTTTTCCTCAGAGGACAAGGGTCCATGTGCAGAAGTGGAGAGACTATCTCCACAGGGGTAGGGAGCTGTAGAAAAGCCCTAGAAACAAGCCCAACATTCTCTGTATCTGTTTCCTAGCTGCCAACACAATGTCCTACCTTGGTTCTTTGAGATCCCCAGGGGCGGAGGCTATCTCACAAACACACACACGTTAACATGGGTGATGAGCCTAGTTTCCAAACACCTCATTAATATTTGGTCCCCTCACTGCTCAGTAATTTTTTGACCTGTATCTTCCCAAGGAGGGGCTTGGAGCCCTGCGCTTTAGAGCATGGTAGGATCCCGTTGTTTTCTACCTCAGTCTTGTGGGGTACATAGGAGAACCACCCTTTTCCAGGGAAGGAACTGAGGCTCACACATTTCCTCTAGGTATGTTGGGTACCTAGCACATCCCAAGACCTGCCAGTTGCGTACAGAGCACATTCCAGTCCTGGTGTCACCTCTGAGGCTAGAGACCCAACGGAGCCCTCCTCCTGCAGCCTGGTCTAGAGACTCTATAAGCCTAGGTCCCTACGGGCAGTCACGCTCTATAGTGAGAAGTGATGGCAAGCTAGAAGCACGGTTGCCCTTTATGTGTGTGCATTCACTTGTGTGTACATTTGTGGAGGCCAGAGGTCAACACTGGGCATCTTCCTCAATTGCTCTCTACTTTGCTGTGTGTGCTGCAGGCATGAGTGTGGGGGTGCATATACTAGTGCCCACACTGGCAGAGGCTGGGACAAGATGCCAGGTTCCCTCCTCCATTGTTCTGTCTTATGCCTCACTCCCTTGGGATAAGGTCTCTCACTGACCTCATCTTTTTGGCTAGGCTGGGTGGCCACTGAGTTCGGGGACTCCTCCTGTCTCTGTCCCTCGATGTTGGGATTATAAGCACCAAGAGTCATGCCTGACCATTAACACAGAATCTGCAGCTTCAAACTCAAGTCTCCGGATCTTCATGCTTGGAAAGCAAGCACCCTTAGCTGCTGAGCCACCTCCCAAGCACCTCCACCTGATTTCTGAGACAGGGTCTCTTGTTGAAGCTGGCACTCACCCATTCGGCTACACTGGCTGGCCAGTTGGTCCCAAGGATCTGCACGCTCTGCACTACCACCCCCAGCACTGGGATTACATGTGCACATTACCAGGCCTTTTACATGGTTGTTGGGGAATCTGAGCTCTGCTCCTCATGCTTGTGCCTGGGCTGTCTCCTAGCCCTTTTAGTATGTGTGTGTGTGTGTGTGTGTGTGTGTGTGTGTACATGCATATATCTATTTATTTGTTTATTGTGGGGGGGGTATGGGGGGTGTTCATGGATATCAGAGGACAAGCTGTAAATCAGTTCCTTCCTTCCTTCCTGAAAGGAGAGAACCCCGGGGATGAGCAAAGGTTGTGAGGCCTAATGGTAACTTTACCCACTGAGCCACCACCCTCACCTCCCTTTTTTTGAGATAGGGTCTCACTATGTAGCTCAGGCTGTCCTTGAATCTATAGTCCTTGTTTCTGCCTGTTTCATGCTGGGATTACATGTAACCATGTTTGGCTTCTTGTCTTCTCAACCACTCACTTGGCCTGAAACAGCTGACTGTCATGCTTAGGGGCAGCGGCCGCTGTCCCACAGAAGACCACATCATAGGGCTCTACTCCCCAGACCGAAGCCCCTCCCCCATGTCAGGTTCCTAAGGGACACTGCAGACAGGACACAATGCCTGCCCAGGGACCTTTCGGCAGGGAGAGCGAAGAAGCCAGTTTTCAGCTTTCTGCTCTTACTGGCTGTCCCTAGAACCTCATTACAATCACAGTTCTCAAAGTATCAGGGCAGCACTGCAATTTGCCGACAGGATTTATTCTTGTTGGTAAAAATCATTTTCTGCAAGAAGGGGTGAGGAGCGATGATTGTGGTGTAAGCAGCCGGGGATGGAGAGCAAAGCCTCAGCTGGCCAGTGGGCATCAAAAGTGTCCACAGGGTCTCCTGTTCTGCCTGTGGTGGGCACAGGCAGGATCATCACCCTACTTTACAGCCAGGAAATGCAGGGACAGAAAATAAACAAACACTGCCCAGGGCCGCCATCCAGGAAGCAGCAGAGGTTGCTTGTGAGGCCATCTCTTGATGCCCAAGCCAAAATGGGCCTTCTCACCTGGGGAAGAATACTGGGCAACCAGGCACAGCCTAGGAACCCACCAAACCAGGGAGCTGGGGACCAAGAGGCAGGCTTATAGCCGGGGCTGTAGAGCAGGAGAGCCAAGGACCAGCCAGTTTTATGTTTGTATGTATGTATGCATGTATGCATGCATGCATGTATACACATATTGTATGTTATGTATTTTGTAGTGATAGGGGTTTGAAATTAGGGCCTCCTACATCCAAGCTAAGTGTGCTACTCAACTATATGCCCTTTCTTTCTCTCTCTCTCTCTCTCTTTCTTTCCTTCTTTCCTTCCTTCCTTCCTTCCTTCCTTCCTTCCTTCCTTCCTTCCTTCCTTCCTTCCTTCCTTCCTTCCTTCTTTCTTTCTTTCTTTCTTTCTTTCTTTCTTTCTTTCTTTCTTTCTTTCTTTCTCTCATATTTTTAAAGTTTTGAGTCAGGATCTCACTAAGTTATCCAGGCTTTGATCTCATTCTGCAGCCCAGCAGGCCTTGACCTTGACATCCCCTGCCTCAGTCTCCCAAGTAGGCAGGATAGCAAGCCTGTGCCCATAGGCTAGCCCCACTCATTTTATTGTGGACCCAGAACCCAGGTCCTCAGTTCCTCCAGCATCACCCTATCTGCGCCCTCATACTCCCCACATCACTGACAAATAGGTGACGCCCACCTCCTAGTCTTATTTATTTATTTATGGGTTGTTTTTTTTTTTTTTTTTTTTTTTTTTTGAGGCAGGGTTTCTCTGTGTAGCCCTGGGTGTGCTGACTCTGCCTCCCAAGTGCTGGGATTAAAGGCCTGTGCCACCACTACCCACCCCCCTACCTACTATTTGTAACACTGGCACCTCTACAACAAATTTCACGTACCCTAGGCATGGAGTCCTATAGCCCAGGGTGCTGTTCCCATACAGAATGGGCCAGGCACACTTTCTGATGCAGCACACATGTAGACCTTGACACACATACACACTATACACACACACACACACACACACACAGTTCACACACAAGTACACTGATACACATGAGCACCCATGTGCACACTGCCCTAATGAACAAAGGCCCAAGCCACATGATTACTCTGAGTACACAACCTCGTGGCAGTCACTGCCCTGTCCACATACCCAGAGTCTTGCCTTCGTTACTACGCTAACACCCCGCCTCTGACTAGCTGAGGGCACAGGCTTGAGGGCCTGGTCCAGGAACCCCACCTGGGTCAGCTCCAGCCCCAGCTGAAGGAAAACAGCTCCATGAATGGTGGGTGGGCGGGGAAGTGGACTCCTCCCCAGCCAGGGGCAGGGCTCCCATCTCCAACTCACCCTCTGGCAGGAAGCTTCTGGATCCCCGAAATGGGGAGCACATGGTGTCTGAGGTTGGGACAGGCAGGGGATCAGAGTGGCCCTTGGTGCCAGCCCGGCAGCGGGGCAGGGATCCGGACCCTGAGGCCTGACGCAATGGAAAAAGAAACCACAGCCTGGTTGGGCCAGCCCCCTCCCCTCCCTCAGCAGAAGGCAGCAAGGTGTCATTAAGGGGGGGTTGGGTCTGTGTGAGCATTGGGCAAGATGGAAAAGCTCCAGGACAGCACCATCTGCAGGTAATTTGGGGTTTGGGGCTGGAGGAGGGGGTGCAGGCAGCAAGAGCCTTTTCCAAGGATGATACACGTCATGGCACAGGCGTGGGCACAGGCCTCTGGGAAAGAGGTTGTAGTCAGGGATGCAAAACCAGTAGTCCCAGTCAGAGATGAGCTAACTGAGGCAAGCAGGAGGCAGGGCTTGGAAATGACCTGTCCAGCGGTCACACATTCATTCAACAAACATTCCTTGCATATCCTAGGGCGGCAGAAACAAGGCTGAAGAGGCAGGTAGTGGTGGCTCAGCACTCAGGAAGCAGAAGCAAGGGACCAGAAGTTCAAGTGCAGACTGAGCTACGTGGTGAGAACCTGTCTAAAACATAAAAAACAATGTAGAAAGTTTAGCCACCCCCCCCTTCCGCCATTGTGGCAGTTACCATCCTGCTCTTGATAGAAGCAGACAGACTCAGATGACATTAGAACTAAACTACACATCTAGAGTATTGTGGCTTTGGCCAGAACTCTAGTAATTCATGGCCAGTGACTCCCTGCCCTTCCTCTCCTATGTCCCATGGGGCAGCCTTTTCCCACTCCTAGCTGCGGCCAGCATCAGCCTCATGTCTCCACTTCCCCTGCCATGGCCTGGCCAGCTACAAAATCTCTTGTGCAGCAATGCTGAGCCCACGAAAGCCCTCCCCTGCCCGGCCACAAGGACTCATCACGTAAATCAAACACTACCACGGAACCTTCTAATGTCCTCTCCTTCCAGATCCCACAACTCCTTGCATTACCCCAGGCTGAGGGAGCCGGGCTGAGCTGGTCCCTTCCATGCCATTCTCCCCCAGTTCCCTGCCAAGCTTCGCTGCCTTCCCCTCTGGTTTCAAATATCCCACCTTCTGCTTGCCCTGAGCCCTTTGCACTTGCAGTTCCATCTGCCGAAACTGCTTTTCTTCTCTGGAAGGGTCCCAGTTGTCAGCATTCTCAGGGAACTTCCACAATCACTTAGGAGCCAATGTGATCTGTGTCTACACCATTTCTTTAAGTGATCACTGTATCTACAACTGTTTTACACACTCCTTCATAAACTCCCATAATGTGAGTTCCCGAGGGAGGTCCCAGCACTGATACCCAGCACGAATGAGGGTCTGTATAACTGTGAACACCCAGCAAACACAGTAAATGCACCAAGAGCCAGGAACTCAGCCCCAGGCTGCCTTATCTGCATCACTTAAGAGAGAAAGCCTCTTCTCCAACCTTGGATCTCATAACCCTTTGAAAGACCAGAAAGAGAAGCAAGAATCGAATTTAACAGGGAGGAAACTGAGGCCCAAGAATGGTGAAGGAGTAGATGGGGCCGAAGCCTGCTGACTCTGAACACAGGGGCTGAATGCAGTTGAGGGGGCTCTGTAGCTGTAGATGGAAGGACCATCTTTGAGGTGGTAGTTACAGGAGATGCCAAGTGAAGCAGGCTCAGGAGACAATGGGTTACAGGAGGCCCCGGGGACCCAGCCAGGAAGAAGAGGTGAAGGCAGGCAAGGGCAGATCTAAGGTGGCCCAGAAGCAGCTGCTCAGCCCTGAGGTTCTCAGCCATGGCCACTCAAGGGACAGGAGGCCCTGTGAGACTGTCAATAGGCACTCCTCGTAGGAGGCAATACTGTCAAAACAGCATGCGCAAGGCTGTGGAGGTGGCTCAGTGGGTAAAGGGCTCACCACACAAGCATGAGGACCTGAGTTCGAATCTCTAGAACTCAGGTAAAGTCAGGTGTGGGCAGTGTGTGACTGTAAGCCCAGTGAGTCTGTGGTGAGAAGGTGGGCAGACTCTCCAGAAGCTCACAGCCCAGCTAGCCTGGTGTACACAGCAGCAAACAACAAAGAGACCCCGACTCCAGCAAGGTAGAAGGGAGCAGTCGACACCTGAGGTTGTCCTGACCTCCATACAATGGTGCGTCCAGCCTGGTATGCACCATTTTTGTACTTTGAAGATGGGAAAAAACAAAACAAAACAAAAACAACTCCAAAGAGTGAGGTGTTACAAAGCATTGCCAGTGCCAGCCACACAGACACTCGGTCCTCTGGGTAGCACCAAGTGGCAGTTAACTGCACTGATTCTGGATGTAGTAGCCTGTACTGTGAGTCTCTGGTTCTGCCATTTCCCATCCGTGTGACCCCGGGCATATTACTTACTTAACCTCTCAGTCTTGCCCTCTATAAAAAAGAAGGCAATAAAGTATGTTCCTGGGTTGTTGTGAGGATTAAGATAAAGCACATTTGCTATTACCAGTGGTTCTTAATCTCTGGGGTGGAGACAGCAGGCCAAAAAACAAAAACAACAACAACAAAAAACAAAACAAACAAACAAAAAAAAACAGGGGGATGTGGCCAAACAGAGGGCAAGGAACTAAAACTCGATGAGACACATGGTTCTCCGTCACTCTTTCCTGCTGTGGGCACAATGCACCATGTCAGTTAGGCCAAGGGTGGAGGATGGGACAGGGTGACAGTCCTTGAGGCCTCCAGCTAACTCTCTGGCCTTGACACCTTAGGGGTCACAGGAGCCACAGGACCTGGTGGGCACCACCTTGGGAGGACTGTAGCTCCTGCTTTCCTGCTCCAAGCATGGTTCTCAGAAAGCACCAGAAGTGTAGCATCTGGCCCCACCCAGACCTGCTCCATCAGAAGCCCTAGGGAGGCCCCTAACAACCCTTGTATGAACAAGCCCCAGAGGCAAGGTGGGGGAGGCCGGCTACACTCAAACCACGGGTTTGGCAGGCAGGTGTGGTTTCAAACACGTTCCTGGAGGGAGCATGAAGCTGCCCACCTGCAACCATGATGGGAGCAAGGAGGAGGGCCCCTGAGGCTGGGACAACGCCTTGGGGATGGCCCTGGTTTGACCTGGATGTAGTCTAGTTAAGCAGATTTGACATTTGGTTTCCATACAAGCTCTGCCATGCCTGGTTGAGAGAGGAATTTTTTGCTCACTAGAACCCTCAACAGGTCAGCCAGTCATTCCTCGCCTGCTGACCCTGAGGGTCTCCGCTAAGTCCTCAAGGCTCTCCAGAGGTTTGGGATAGGTGTTGAGGGCATTGCTGCCACTGACCAGATCACAAGATCCAGAAATACAGAGGGCAAGCACATTGTCAGGACTTTCCAGAGAAGCTGCTTTCTATGTCTGCATTTGCACAGTAAGAGGTTGATTTTTGTTTTTGTTTTATTTTATTTTTTTATTTTTGTTTTTCAAGACAGGGTTTCTCTGTATAGCCTTGGCTGTCCTGGAACTCCCTCTGTAGACCAGGCTGGCCTCAACTCATAGAGAGCGGCCTGCCTGTGCCTCCCAAGTGCTGGGATTAAAGGCATGTGTCCCACTGCCCAGCCAAGAGACTGATTTTAAAGGGTCTGTTCATACGAGCACAAGGGGGTAAGCCTGAAGTTTGGAGCGCAGCATGGCCTGGAAACAGGAAGGGTTTTCCTATGTTGTGCTCTCGAGGTCCAAGACTTCATCTTGGAGGAAGCTCGGTCTCTGGCTGAAGGCCGTCTATCAATTGGATGGGGCCCGTGCGCAGAGGATAATCGGCTTTGCCCAAAGCCTGATTTAAATGTTAATCGCATCTTAAACATACCTACACAGAAACATCTAGACTAGTATTTGGCCAAACAACTGGTCACCATAGCCCAGCCAAGTTCATAGAGACAGTAAGCCATCCAAACAAACTTGAGCTTTGAGAGGTAGCAGGTGAGGAACTGGGCTGGGGCTCAGACTTCTCAAGTGTGGGGGCTCCAGGACACCCTGTCAGCTGGAATGGAAGGGGGAGGTGGGCATGGCCACCCCAACAGAGACAAAACTTGAATAAAGCAGAGTCACTATGAGACCCAATCCCATTCTGAATGCACCGTGAGCTTCCCCTTCCAGAAATCCCGGGCTCGAGGTCTTGTGGCCATGTGACCACACCCACTGTCATCGGAAACTGGATGACTGCCTATGTGGTTCTTGCCTTCTGGCTCCAAGGCTGATAACTGCTCTTGATATCATCACTCTCTAGGTCTCAGAAAGGATCACCTTCCAGACTGATGGGTTCCTGGACCAGCCATCTGGTCAACTTTTGTATCTGTTCTTTCTTTCTCTCCCTCTCAGTCCCCTTCTTTCCCCTCCCTCTCGTGTGTGTGTGTGTGTGTGTGTGTGTGTGTGTGTTTGTGTGTTTAAGTGCACACATATATACAGGCAAGAAAAAAACCTCAGTTGTCATTCCTCAGGGTTTCTTATTGGCCTGGAACTTGACCACTAGGCCCCAGAGATGGATACACCTATCTGTCTTCCCAGCTAAGGTTCTAAGAACTGGACTCTGGTCCCAGTGCTGGCCATGCTAGCACTGTATTGATGGAACCATCTTCCCAGCCCTGTATCTGCTCTCTTACCCATGGCGATGCCAGGATGCTCTGAAAGCTCTATATCACATGATGAAAGTCTCTTGGAGGCTCCCTTCCCCTCTCAGGACATTATCTAGTCCCCCTGGTAGGGCTCCTGTGGTCCTCCCTCCCCCTCCCACCCCCATGGCTCTGGCTATGTTCTTCACTACATAATACTTCCAATAATACTTTTCTGTGTGTCCCTAATTTTGCACCTGCTGTTCCAGCTGCCTTGAATGCACTTCCTCTTTCTCCACCTGACTTCTTTTATTCGCATTCAGCTCAATAAAACCAAATGTGGTATCACTATGCACCAGGTCCATCATGATCCCTTAGGACAGTCAAAAGTAGAAAGCTGACACACTGCATGTTGGCAGGAACGCAGGGTGACCAGAACTCTTACAGTTCACCAGATGCAGTGGGGTTTGGATCAAACCATTCAGAAGAAACATTTGGCAGGGCCTGAAAGCTAACTCCTGGCACAAGTGGTCTCAAAAGACACTCAGGAGGATATCCACAGCAGCACCGTATGAGATGCCACCCTGATCCAGGATCAGGGACCAGTGTGTCAGCAATGGGAATGGGCCACTCATCTCGCTGGATGAAAGAGCATGAAAGAGAATCTGAGCACCCTATTGGACTCTGGGCATGAGGTGAAGTGTGGACAAAAGAAACAACATCACTGTTGAAGGCGATGATATTGGTATGACAGGAAGCAAGTAACATGAAACTGCTGAGAAGGGACAACAGGAGGAGGTCCGGTTGTTCCCATTTCTGGGCCCAGCGGCTATTATCCCAGCTGCACGGCTTTTTCATGGTATCCTATGCTGAGGGTGTTCCTCTTTCTTTTTCAAACTGTTGGGGGTTGCACAGAGGGGCTTGGGTACTCTGACACCACACCACACCACACACTCACTCGGCTCTTCTGATTTTGAGACAG